TAACAAATAGTACTGATCCTGTTTTTTTAATTCGTCGTGGTAAATCGCGGACAGAAGCTAGTAAATCGCCCAAACTAAAACATGTGCACGTGTAAAGAGTTCAAGTAAAGGTCGATGTAATCTTTGCTGTTTTTCAACGATTTTTCTTATTACATACAATATTTATCAAAAAAGTTCACACAGAGATAGCGGTTTTCATCGAGTATACATTAGGCATAGTAAAATAACACTTAACGATATTACCTCGTCATATACCTAACCGTGGGTTTCTGAGATCAAAATCCTAGTTTACAACATATTGTGATCTCTATTTTGTCAAAGATGACGATATATACAGAGATTTCGGTACCAAAAATAACGGTAAATAACTAAAAATACTTATGAAATAGAGTGATGGAAAAGACGAAAACTTTTATATGACAAAATATTACTAACATTTAGCAATAAAATCATTATCTTACTAATAATATAAATGCGAATGTTTAGATGGATGGATGTTAGATAGAAGGTACATCCAGAGCGACTGGATCGAAACCAATGAAATTTGGCATAAATGTAGAACATATTCTGGAAGAACACAGGCTACTATGTTTTTTTAATGCAGTGCGGACTGAATCACGGACGACAACTAGTGAATCGTAGAATCTAACCGCGCCTTTCTACTACACACCTTAATTTGTGTAAGCATCAAACCTACGACATAATTTATCGCACAGCGTCATCCGTATCCTTTTAATTAAAACGTGAATCAAGTCTCAATTAACATTTTACGTAACAGATAATAAAATCTCGAATATATTATGTATATCTACACGTGATATCTAAACGAATCGAACAATTAGTATACACGTGACTGACTATTTTTATTACAATATAGTAACAATATTAATTCTATCAACCGGTTTTAGTATTAGCGTGTCATAACATAATCTGTTTTTAACGAAATATAATCGAGGTATTCTTATATATTACTAGTTGTCGTCCGCGAATCCGTGCGCGCGTTATAAAAAATCTTTAGTAGCCTATGTGTTCTTCCGGATTATGTTCTACATCTATGCCAAACTTCAGCGAGATCCATACAGCTGATCTGGTGATACCTTCAAACGTTCTTCCATCCATCTACACAAATTTATAATATTAGTAAGATTAGATATGAAGCTAAATTTTATATCCTAACTGTCGCCCGCGACGTTGTCTGCTCGGGAATAAAAAATTATGATATCCGATTTTTAAACCTACTGAACATGGATATAAAATTACATAATATTCAATTTGTATCTAATCTAAACTAAACAAAAATATAAATTAAAAAAATAATCGAAAACAATTTAAAATAACAAAAATAATATTACGTAACTTGAACAAATAGAACAAAAATCTTCACAACACAAGTGTTCCATTTTTTGTTGTTGAATAATATCAAACAGGATCATAAAGTTAGATTTTAGACTATAATATCAATACAGATAAAAAAAATCTACAATTCCATAGATTATATAACAATCAGGTTGCCTACCAAAGTAATAAAAAACGACAGCTATCATACTAATATTATAAATGCAAAAGTTTGGATAGATGGATGGATGTTTTAACGTACCACCAAAACATCTTAAAGGATATCGATGAAAATTTTCACAAATGTAGACCATAGTCTGAAAGAACGCATAGGATACTTTCTACTACTGCTTACTTTTTGAAATTACAGAGGAAGTCGCATGCAAACACCAGTTAAGTACTAAAAGTATACAAACCCGAATAAACATATACGTTATATTTAAATAATAAAATATCCTGTATTTTTCCGTTTTCCGTACATAATGCTTAATACATTATTTATTACGTGGTGATATAAGTTTTTTTTTTGACAGATTATGTCTGAAGTCATAACAAATACAAATAAAAAACAATACGGTTCATATGGTAACCCGTTTTTTCCCAACATCCGACCCTCTATTCTTCGCCATGGTGTTCAAAATACAAAAATACTGAGATATCCAAATCTCATGATTAATTCAAATCGGTAAACGAAAATTGACATTCATTTTTTTTATATTTTTTTATATCATAACTTACAATTGAAGGCTATTCTGTAAACTGTAGGATTATTCGAATCGAAATTCTTATATTTTGTTTTAAAAACACGAATATTTTTGTATTCACTAACGCGATTTTTTAAATCGCGTAAGCGTCAAAACTGGCTTTCCTTTAAGCCCAAGGGGGATTATTATAACCGCTTTAAGATTCTATCGAAAACGATAATTACAATATAATAAATACGTATATAGAGTAAAATATAAAGCAAAGATATAAGGTAAAGTTAGAAATTCATTGCCGTTTGAAATATCATCTTCTTCATCACCAGGAAAACAGAAACTACAAATATTAATAAAAGTGTTACGACAATCGAATTGTAATAATTCGTAATACGAAAAATGTAATTACGTTTGAAAACTATTACGAAGTTTGCGATCGTAATCATTCCGAAATAGTTTTCCTTCTATAACTATCGATTTAGGTTATTAGTTACCTTATATTATTTAAGAATCGTAATACATTCTGTGAAGAAATACAAAGATATGTGTGAAGTTAACCCGTACGTACCCGTTATTACCTAGTCACCCCTAACTTATGGTAGACTACGAGCCTCTCAGTGGGGACATATAGTGAGCTGATGATTTAAGAATAACCCATCTAACATAGCTTTGACGAATTGCAACCGGCCGTATAACCCGTCCTTGTAGTTTTACATAATATTTTCCTGCACGTGATATGTTTGCGACAGTTTTTTTTTTCAAGATGGCCGCTCTTTTTTCTCGTATTCAAAACAATTGTGTTTTGATTTGTCGATATCTTTTGTTACATAACGTCGAGTTAGACGAAAACAAGTTTTTATATAAAGTTGACAGTAAAAAACCTAGAATACTTTGTTATATTTGTTGCATGTGAACAGTCTAGAAAATCGCACTGAAACGTATCAAGGAAAATATAGTCTGTGGCCAATACAAAAAACTAATCTAATTAAATTCGTCTAATAATGAGTAGTAATTTTCAGATGAAAATTACCTGCCAATTTTTAAAGTACGAGCGTCTCACTGTGAGTAAAATTATAATTGAATTTATTATTATTAAATTTTCTAATAGCTTTGAATAAAAACTATATTTATATTGTCAAAGGTAAAAGCTATAATAAAATTGAGAAAATGTTACAACCAACCAACCAGCACTTGGCCAGCGTGGTTGACTATGGCCAAATCACCCTTAACATAGGGTCTACTCCGAGTCCCTCGGTGGAGATGTATAGTGAGCTGATGATGAATATAAAAACTTATTATAAATATATTTTAAAGCCACATAATAATAATGTATTAAGCAGAATGTGTGCTTAAATATTTACATTATCTTTAGACAAAAGTAAAACACATGATAAAACAGATAATAAAATTGAATTATTTAACACAGATTATTAAAGAGTTTGCTCACTTTGTTTTGTTGCGTCACTAGTTGTCGCCCGCGACTCCATCCGCGCGGGACTAAAAAAACTTAATAAGTAACCTATGTGTTCTTCCAGACTACGTTCTACAACTATGCCAAGTTTCAGAGGGATCCGTTCACCTGTACTGGAGATACCTCCAAACAAACATCCATCCATACAAACATTCGCATTTATAATATTAGTAAGACTGTATAAATTAAAAGAAAAAAAATTCTAGTGAACTATTCATTGATGACTAAAGAAAAATTCATTTTCTCTGCATCATTACAATTATTTTAAAACGTGACTCGAGTAATGACCAGTTTCCAGAAAATCTCGAGAGCGCCAAAAGTTCCAATGTCAAACAGAAAAAAAAACGACCGCGATCGATATGCGCAAATATCGAACCAACTTCGTGGAACTATTACAACTTCCTTATTAAAGAATTACATATTTTGTCTACTATTATAATTTACATCCAAGACTGTAATTATAATATAATAAAAATAAATGCTAACGTTTAGATTCATGGATGTTTGTTTAAAGGCATCACTGAATCTGCTCAACAGATCACGATGAAATTTAACATATATAGAACATAATCTGGAAGAATACATAGACTACTTATTATGTTTTTATAATTCCGCGCGGACGGAGTCGCGGGCGACAGCTAGTGTAATATAAAGTAACATAAATACCGATATATATCTAAATATCGTCAGTTATACGTCTGGTAAAGTCCAGTGATAAACATTAAAAGATAAAGAAAATTAAAATTTCTGTACGAACTATAAAAATTTTATCTCACAGTTGTATGAAATCCATGATGTCCTTAGAATTAAATATCCATTTTTTCAGTCACCAATCATGTTATGTCTTTTCTTCTCTTTATTATAGCTTATAATTTATCAAAATATGTAAGGGAAATTATTTAATATGCTTTAGTACAAAATAAAAATGTCACTAAATATATTGTAGGTAGTCACTGCTACTTGAAATACTAACATTAATTTCCCCTTATTTTAAACCTATAACTCTTCTTATTTTATTACAAAAAAATCTACGTAGTTTTGAAATTAAAACAACAAACAAACGATACGAAAAGCAATAAATATGCTAATCTACAATAGATTTATGTTTAGGATTATGCAAAACAAGTGGCCAACTAGATAGTTAATAGTTAACAAATATCAACAAAAACTATAAAGTTGAAATATTGAACTAAATATTAGGCCATAATGGAATTAATTCATTACGCCACACAAATTGCCCAAAAGTAACGCTCTTATCAATCGATTACAAATTTCATAGAAACACAAAAATGAGACAAACACATGACTCAATCGCGAATTAGCTAAAAAAAAATGGACACTATATTGACACAATAGCGCCGGCTAAAGTGATTACACACAGGGTAAGTTACGTAAATATTCGCACACACGCACAACTCCGTTCACTCACACTACTGTAACCACCCACACATTGAAGCTGCGAGCTAGTGTGCGTGCTGCAGGCACCGAGTCGGTCGACCCCTCTACAAAATTTAGTCGCACTCTAGACTTCGCAGAGAATAGTCGTGTCCAAGTAACTAGAGTACTACGCAGCACCAATCGCAGTGAACATTTCGTCATAACAACATTGTGATAGTGACAAATATTTTTCGGGACGTGAAAAGTGGGAGTGTTTTTAACGTTTTGAACAATTTTCCTAATAAACTACGCCGTGAACAGTTTTGTGCATTTTTCTATTTGTGAATTATGACATTGTTCCCACTATTTGGATAATTCCGGATAAGGAGCCGATAATTACCGCAAATATTTTCGTAAGTATTTTCATTAATTTTCAGAGACCATTATCAAGTTTTCATTTAAAAAATAATTACCATCAAATTTTTCACACTGTAATTTCGCAACTTAACATTTTAAATAAACCATCAAATTTAAAAAATAAATTTAACAATTCCAAAAAATATTTTGTTAAACATAAAAATATTTCCTTATGCATTTTTCAATTTTAAATTTTGTGAATTTTTAAATATTAAAATTTTCGTAAAAATACATAGAACATTAAAACAGTAAGTCTGATTGGAAAAATAAGTAATGGTAGCAAATAAAGATTTTTGAAAAATGTATAATTTAAGATTTTTTATTAATAATTTAATTTAAATTAGACTCAAATAAATTACAATGAGTAATTTATGTATGAGTCAGAGTTTTCGAACGTTTCGTGGTTTCGGTCAAATGTTTTTCCGTTATGTCATTGACTTCTTGCTTCGAATTCTGTTTATTCATGCCCCTTAGTTTCGTGCCAAAATGTTTAACGCTTAAATCATTTTCGTAGAATTATATATGTAGCATTTTAATGGCTCTTTGTTATGATCTTTTGTTTGTGAATGTGCTTCCTTACATGTGTTTTCAATATTATCTTTGTTTACAATGTCAATACAACGTATGCTACAATATCGCTGATTATTTTTGTTTGCCAACATTTTGTATGATTTTTCGATGAAAGTAAAAAAAATCTATTCACGTTTATTTAGATTTTTTTAAGTATTAAGTAATTGATAAAAAATGCGTTTTTTCATGTTTTTTTTTTTGGAAAATTTGTGTCTAGTGTAAAATTTTTTAGTTTTAATTAGTGCAGTATTTGATTGTAAGTTGTTGTGTCGCAAGCGGCGCCAGGCGGCACGGCTCTGTCGTAAGCCTATTGTAAGCCGCTTACACAACTGGTTCAAGGTTCCAATCCGGCGTGCATTCGCCTGCGGATGTGCGGAAACTAGATTTCGTAACTGCTAAAAAGTTAACAAACGCTTCACTTTTTTATGTCATTATTTGCAATACCTTTTTTTTTAAATATCGGTATTATTTGGTATTTACATGCAAAACAAAAATTTTAAAAAAAATCGCCCTATAATGCGAAACTAAATCACGTAGAATTTAATTTAAAAAAAATTAAGAAATAGAAAATCAAATAGCAGATTTAAATTTTTTAATTTCAAAATTAAGTCTATTAATAGAATACGAAAAGGTATTTTTTATTAGCAATTTAAACGGATTTTTTTCAAAGGATTAACGTAAATGCAATGGAATCGATCCATCGCGTAAAGGTCAGTTCTGTATGACGCAACGTCCCTAGGGCGGATTGCGCAACAAGCTGCAATACACACATACATACATACGCACACAGACAAAACGTTTGTTTAGATAATCACGTATTCGTTTCTATAAATGTGGTTGGGAAATATGTTTTCATACAAGACCGTTATTTAAACTATGTTTAAAGTACGCACTGTTTTGTTACTAATTGTATTTAAAAGACGTTATTAGTGTTAAAAAATGCAACAGAAAAAATCTATTTACTCCCCATTTCTTTGATTTATATAAATACGATAAAAGATGAAATCGAAATAAGTTCAATCATGAAAGAAAATTTTATAAATTCAAAGTATCGTAATTATAAAAATTTTATGAAAGTCATCATGAGAATTCATTTATTAAAAACATCGTAACAGATAAAGAACAAAGAATTGTAATAGATAATTGTACTACAAATGCAGTATTGCTTACGTAATACAGGAACTAATCCGCAAGGTTGACCGGAAGGTATTATTTTAAGGTCGAGACTGCATGCATTTGGTTAATCACGCATCATGACTCGCGATTACATGTGGCCATTTAAATTACTACGAGACCAATTCATGATTAGCCCTTTAATAATTCGTTTAAAAACACGACAAAGAAAACGATATTTACGTATTAAAACTTACAACAAAGTATCATTTATAAAAATTAACTTGGAAGATATTTTTAGAAATCGCCAAACCCATTGACGTATGAAAAATAGTAATCCCCTTTAAAATGAATAAAATTATTGTTTAGTCTACCAACACCATTAAGGTCATGGGAATATTCTTTATTTATAATAACATTACTACGTGTAATCTTTATGTTACGTAACCGATTTTTCGTGTCGGCGCAACAAGGCGGCCGATAATTCTCATCGCACCGAGGACAAGCAAAGATAACTTGACCTATATTTTTTTATCTCGAACACTCGCGTTACTGTAACCTAGTTAGTGATGTACACGTGAGTTTACACGGCCAATTGCGACAATGTAGATCAACGTGTGACGTATCATAGCTCTTAAAAGTACCAACAAGGATATACACAATGGAAATGGTTCGATGACGCAACTTTACTAGGAATTGTATTGTAATCATCGGACCAAGATCACGTTTTTATTATTAAGAATATTTACAGAATTATAACGCAACAAAAATATACAAAAGGTTACAGATCTTAACGACCCGCATGTTATAGCCTAAGCACATTCCTATTTGTTGCCTACACTTATTTCTTTATTTGAACTAAAAGTCGTCTTGTTTCCTCGTGGTTCGTTTTTTGATTATTTTTTTGTAATTGTATACGAAAACATACAATGAGTCATTTATGGTTTGCATTACTATAGCATCTATTCGCGTGGCTTCCTGGAACCAAAAGTGTTGGTTACGTAAGTCTTGCGCAGCTAATTTTATCGAATCTAGTGCGGGGAAATAGGTTAAACGATTCATAATAATGAGCAATTAGTCTCAGTAGACAAGGTCGTTAAAACTAGGCCTCCGTTATTGAAGGAGAGATTATCAAGAGATAGGGAAATCCCTTACCGGAAAAGTCACAAGACCTTGACATATTTTGTACCGGTACGTAGGTATACGTTTATCGCACGAAGCGGTTACGAAACGCAACCTTGACACCAAAGCGTTATCGCGCAACGAAAGAGGCCACCCCGAAAATAACTCGAAAATCCTGCTTTGTTTAATTGCGAGAAAATACGCGTCTGCGAATATCGGTCAAGAATACAGAAAATTGGCACAAAAAAAATAGTTGAAATACGTCCAACTTAAAAGACCTTCCAGATCCACAACTTTAGAATTAAAATAGTACTAAATAGCTTGCCTGTGTAACGGATACGACGAATGATGTGTTTTATAAACATCCAAGTCTTACGTGTACTATCTATAAAGCCACACGTTTCTTGACATGAAATGCATTGAAACGCAGTTGGCTTTGAAATTTAGCAGTTCGTCACCAAATAAATAATTCATCATTGAAATAAATTGACGTTTAGTCGTAGATCTTCGTGTGGCGGCTAAATGTCAAATCAAGATGGCGACTGCCCTACTTTTCCCGCGCAATAAACGGCGAGCGTGTGGAAAGTTACGGCTGTACTACTTTCTCTACTTTTTCCAAGATGGCCGATATTGTCTAAGCTTAAAGGAAGGTCAATACCATTTGATGTTTTCTGTTATCAGTTGAAGTAACACACTTTTTAGACGTGTACATAGATTATATTCTGTTAAACCGTAAAAGGCGACTGTTAAAAGACAACATTCAACGAATCACTATAACTTCAATACTATAGTAGTTATAATTAGAATAGCTATTAAATAAAGTCATCAGGAATTAGCATAAAAACGCAAAAACAACACTAATCGCTCATTTCTGCTCTAAGGTGGATAGAAAACAAAATAATAACAATCAGTAGCTGAAATACTGGCTGGTATCAAATAGAATCGAACATTTTAAAAATCCCACGCAGTCTCATGGTCAAGGCTAGTTTGCCGATTTGTTAAGAAGACTATTAATTAAAATTTCACGTTGTTAGATCACGTTGTCACGTTGCAAGTTTATATAACGGTTCAGTGAGGAGTGAGCGAGCTCGTTGCGCAAGCGGCAACGTGAGGTTCAAGTGCGGACACGTGCCGTCCGCCGCGTGACCGGCGTGCTAGCACACGATAGCACGTGCGCCGGCGGGACGCGGCCTGAGGTCGCTGATCGGTGCTCCGACCCGACCCGAACAGGTAGGGTTGACCCCAGCGGGAAATGATCATAGACAAGATACCTAGGAAACATTGTTATAGATACAGTTGAGGAACTACCAAATAGCAAGTCTATAGCTTAATCTATGTTCAGGAAATAACGCCATCTATATCATTATTCATAAGAATTGTAATAGTCATAACACTAAAGCAGTTATTATTATATAATTCTAAGATATAATTCTAATCAGACTTGGCCGGAAACAGATAGAAACAGAATGTAACTTTATCATGTCAGTTCTTTGAATACTTTATCTTTGGTAATTCCGCAAATTAAAAAAAAATATAGATAAAAATCGTCTATCTTGATGTATCGAGAAAAATGTCTATTCAAAGATACACTGTTGTCAAGTTATATAAAACATTACATTTTTATTATTAGGAAATATTTTTTTACATCCTGTCTTAAACATAATAGTCTATTGGTACATTGATAGGTACAAATCGAAGTTTGATTAACTAAAACAATGAATCAGTTTTAACTTTCTTTAATATCGTCTTTTGTTTTAAATACGATACAAAATAAATACAGATTAAAAATACAGTCTGACCAATCACGTGTTCTGACCGCACGGGGGTTTAACGCGTTAGTCCCGTGCTTTATTATTGCTACACATAACACGTGGCTAAATTCAATTTATTTGCACGTGTGTGAAAACATTTCATACCAAACTCGTATAAATCTTTTACCTCGACATTTAAATTTATTTCCTGCAGTTATTGCAGCCTTTATTATAATTATTATTGAATATAATATATTTATAGATATAAAAGAAAATCAATGCAGCTGATATGTTTTTCAGATCTTCCATTCCTCTACCAACCTAAGCTCTAGTTAGATTCTTATTTGACGTATTAGGAGCTCCGAAAAGTTTTATAATGGAAATTGTAATTAAAAACAAAATCAAAGACTATAATCTCGATTTTTACAAGCAATCTTGCATTTCCAATTGCCCAAGCCAACCTTGAACGCTTCTAAATGCAATGACGAAACTAAATAGCTGTTTCATAACAGTATTACGGGTTTTAGACGGCAACGATGAGAATAAAAACCGTACTCTTGTACCGTACGGTCCCAGTTTTTGGTTAACGGTGTGCTCACGAACTAAATGATTAGCTATGTAACTGTCCACGTCAAAGCCGTATGATTGTTGGCCGGATCGGACGCCAAAAAAAAAGTACTACGCTTATTGGCTTTCGTGTTGTCTATGGTCAATGTCGATAAAATATCCGAATTCGCACTGTATTTATTAGTCTTGTCTATGATTTCTTTTTAAAAACAAGGATTGAACATCTGATAAAAGCAATGTATTTATTACATGTGAAAAAGCAACGGTATATTATGATATAACCTTATTATCGACCATTTAACTGTCTGTGTTATACAGACCATCAAATAACGGGTTAATACTTTACATCACTTAAACAGAGCGTTGCTTATTTGATTTTTAATTATTTTTAACACTGACAGCTATGATATAATTATACAAACACTAGCTATCGCCCGCGACTCCGTCCGTATGGAATTACTTTATAAGTAGTCTATGTGTTCTTCCAGACTATGCTCTCTATCTCTACATCTATGCCAAATTTCATTAAGATACCTACAAACAAACATCCATCCATCCATCTATTTAAACATTCGCAATTAAAATATTAGTAAGATAAGATTTACATCTTTTTATAAGTTATAAAACTCTGTATATTTTTTTTTATAAGAACTATCACCAAAATAATAATAAGTAGTAAGCGATATGAAGAGATTACAGCAAATAGTTTATCATTTAACAAAATTATAAGAACTATTTCTTGACGAACTTACATACACCGTTGATTATTATTAATAAGAATTAATTATGATAAATAAAATGATTCATACTTAATAGTACTTATATGTACTTTTACGTAAGACAAAACTAAAAATTCCTATGAAGAGTGGAAAGTCAGAGTCGCGGGCGACAGCTAGTATTTCATATATTTAAATACCTATTAGAATATAATAAAAAATGGCCATTCAAAAGAGTCGTGTAACTGTTTAATATAGAAATATCGAAGTAACGGTGAAATAAAAAACGGCTTTTCTAACTGTTACCAATGTATGCTTCGATGATTTGATTCAATGTGTTTATTTAGGCATAACCGATATTCATATTATTAAAAAAAACAAATATTTATTTTATTAGTCAAATTATGTCTAATATTAAGTAAACGATAAATTAAATCATTTGCTACTCTAGTCGATTTTAATATGAAAATCGATTAGGAAATTAAATCGATATCATTTATGATGACAATAACCAACAATTAAAAATGTACGCGTTAATGACATTTCATTTTCCCGCCAATTAAGGTCGGGCGGTGTAATCGAACGGTCGAATCTAACGGCGCCCGCGCATCTGGGGCGTCCCAGTGACACCGAAGTCTGCGTTGTTACCATGATCGGAGTTAGGCAAATTGCCCAGATTACGGTAGATAGCGTGAACAGAGTTATTATTTTTTTTCTTTCCAATATTAATCGTCACGGTAGAGTCACTGGCTGAAAACGAATACCGGGAATAACAGCTGTTTGAGATTCATTCTGTGACATTACATTTTTAAAATTAATATTTTAGGTTATATATAAAGACTATGTAAATAAAAAGGAATGAGATAAATATTTATTTCTAGAATTTACTTTTATGTGGCTCAAAGCTACGTAAAACCTTTAAAATTCACAATAGAATCATTTGCATTTAAAAATAATAGAATCGAATAGGAAGAGGTTATGTAAAGCTTTCCATGCAATGAGTTTACTCAAAAAAAGGCTTAAAATTCTCTAGAGACTCACTAATGGCCCTCTTTCGAATTTCATAAGGAGTAAATTATGAATAAGACCGTATAAATCAACATTTTCACGTGTCACGGGCCGCGGAATAGTTACAAATACATGTAAATTGTCCTGTAAAAGCATAAATTGTGTTTTAGAAAGAGCTCTCACGTTGTCGGCCGCGCCGCGTGCCGCGGAACGTGATCGCCTAGCTTTTTTTGTCTATGCACTAGTCACTAATCGGCACTAAGAAAAAGGTAGACTACCAAGTTTATGGTTTCAGCACAATAGGCAATTAACGATTCTTTCATTGTTATATTATCGGATGGTTGTCGATTACAATGAGGTTTTAAGACTAGCACTTCCTGTCACTGGTATTGCCGATGCATTGAGACTCATTAGACATACTTTATATAATTTGAATTGGTGTTTTAATCGCTATAGGGTTCGTTACGTAAAAGGTGAACGACACTGGTGCCGGAGGACTGCTGATATTGTTAAATAGTCAAAGTAGGCAAATCAGCGGCCACGTTAGGAACAACGTGATCGTGTTGCGAAATCTAAACTGTGTTAAGACTAACTATTGGCCAACATTATTGCTTACCTTTTGTCACATGCTGACCGGCGTGCTTCAGTTGCACAGTTTGTTGCACGCGGCGAGCACACTGCTCGCCACGCATGGGCCAATTTAAAGGAAGCTGACGGTATCCGGAGCCAGTTTATTTGTGTAACAGAGGTTAGGAAACTATTAACAAACATTTTGCTAATAACTTAGGACACAAAAAATGGTAAATGTAGCAACGCGATTACACAAAGCTCCACGTGCAAGCCGCAGCACGGGATCTTACGACACGGTTTTTGCAAGCGGTCATTTTGTAACTTGGCAACGGCAACTTGGCACGTTATTAATGTTCCTTTTCTTTGGTTTCAGAACCACATTGAGGATCCTTGCGGGCCGGGCGTCGTCCGCCGCAACATGGTCGCCGAGTTTATTCTGAGCCAGCAGCAGCTGCTGGGCGCCGGAGGCGTAGGGCCTGCTCCCTCGCCTCAGCGCGTGCCACCACCTCCACGCGCTCGTCTCTCCGTTTCCCCGCACTTCCCGATGGATCAGCCGCCGTCCAACGGCCCACCCGGGGACCCGCACGATTACCCTTCCAATTTTGACTTCAAGCGTAAGGAATTCTTCGGTCAGCGCAAGCAGCGCGAGTTCATCCCCGACAGTAAAAAAGACGACGGCTACTGGGACCGCAGGCGGCGCAACAACGAAGCCGCCAAGCGCTCGCGCGAAAAGCGCCGCTTCAACGACATGGTGCTCGAGCAAAGAGTCGTCGAACTTTCCAAAGAGAACCACGTACTGAAGGCTCAGCTTGACGCAATTAAGGAAAAGTACGGCATTTGCGGCGACAACCTCATCAGCATCGACCAGGTGCTCGCCACGCTGCCCACCTGCGACCAGGTTCTGTGTGGCTCCAAGCGCACCAAGCTGTCGACCGGCGCACTGTTTCCGCCAGCGCCACCGCCGCCGCCGCCAGCTCCGCCTGCTTCGCCACCCTCCCCGCCACCGCAGCGGGCGCCGGAGCCCTACCAAGAGCGACTTCCAGCGCCAGAGGCATACTACCCTCACCCGGCGCACTACGAGCCACCCGGTTCCGTTCTTAACCTGTCGCGGACACGCCGAGCCCTCTCACCTTACGAGCTGTCCTCGCTGTCGGGCTCCGGCGACGAGACGACGGAACAGTACGCGCCCGAGAACAACTGCCTCCCTCTCAAACTGCGCCACAAAACCCATCTCGGCGACAAGGACGTGGCCAGCGCCCTGCTGTCCCTCCAACACATCAAACAAGAGCCGGGGCCGCGCTCCTCGCCCTCCTGGGACGGCGAGGGCTCCAGCGATGAAAGAGATTCAGGCATCTCGATCGGCGTCGACTACAGGCCGCAGCGGCCTGACGACAGGCTCATCGAGGAAGAAGACGCCCACCTGAAGGCAGAGCTTGCGCGGCTGGCCACCGAAGTAGCAACGCTCAAGAATATGATGCATCAGAACAAGGCGCGTGCGCACGAGCACTGAGCACGACCGCTTGCGCCGTGCGCGCCGCCTTCCCACAACACGTCTCCCCTCACAAGTAGACGAAGTTACCACGTTGTAAAGAGATGATTTATATTTGTATGATATGCGCAGCTGTACGCGACCAAGTCGCATCGCCCATTTGTAATCCTTCCTAGTAGTTATATGTGTCGGTGTTAGCGGAGGGCCGCGGCGACGCCATGCCGCGGTTCGCCCTCATACTAAACTTTCGGTTTGCAGACTTTTCGAGCAGATTAAACTTGTCTACTCAGTGATAGATATAAAAAAAATGCATTTTTAGTGGTGAGCTATGTATAATGTATATGTTATGTAATAAGTAAGCGAAGTAGATCTGTTTCATCTATTCGAAGACTCGGTAGTTTAAAATCGATGGCTAAAGACTAAGTTCTACCTAAGTGTTAGTTCGTAAGTCGATGTAGGTTATTGTAAGTCAAACATAGATTATTTATAAATTTTTAAATGTATAATGTCTTTCTCAATCGGAATGCCGTTAAGTTCCAAACCAAAAATAATATACGAGATACCTCGTATGCTGTCATGGAATCGCAAAATAGTTTATAAGGTTTCATAAAATCCTAATGTTATGCAAAAGCATTGATCAGATTAAGTATACCAGTGCCTTTGACAATACATACCTACCTTTAAAATAGTTATTTAATAATATTTTTGTACATTTCTTAATAAAATCTCTGGGAAACTTCAGTCGGCTGGACCTCTAAAATACCATTTCGAGAATTACGTGTGAAGCGCAAAGCGTTTAATACTTTTCCATCGTTCTTTCCAACAATGAAAATTGTCAAATGTGAATATCGAAAAAATGTAATTAGTTTGAGAAATTTCTAAATATTTCAGTTGTAAGAGTTTACGCTCCTGGTGATGCCCTATAGGGCACGTGATAGGACTGAAGGAAGTTATACGAAGTATTTATTTATTCGGACCGCGAAAGAGGATTTTACAATTTATATCTTTGTATAAGACACTATACGATATGAATAAATTGTGTACATTACAATTAAAACATCATTTTATTTCACCTTATCAAATCCTATAAAATATCCCAATTATCTGTCAAATACACAGATTGTCCGCATTTATGCAAATTGCAAAGCTAAGCAAACTAAATTACAGATGTCGTTCTCAATAAATGCAATTATTAACTGCAATCCTATTAAGAATAACACAAAAAGTCTACGTAGTCAAGTCTAAGATAAGGAAACCTTAGTACAGTTGGGTCATCCAATTGTAATTGCTTTTAAAACGTAATACCTACTGTAACTCCAAGACTAGAGTTTTTAACATAGTAAAAATCTTTAACATAGTAAAAACGATCAAAGGCTTTGAAAAAATATATAAATAAAGAATGCAGTTTCATGAAACATGTCTACTTGGCACAGAGTTCAAAAACAAGTGCTGAGAGATAGCTAACGAGTTAAGTGGTACGCAGAATTCAAAATAGCAGCTAAATGTAAGACATGCCACAGAACAGAACTAGGACATTTTTAATAAGAACACTAAGCAGCAAGTAAACAAACAACAAACCGTAATTATACAGGTTTTCTGTTTCCCAAAAACGGAAAAAAATAAAAATTTAACCTCTATTTTGTAAGCTGTAACTTAGTATTTTTCTTTACCCGTTAGTCTCTCCACTATTGCTGCTGAACCCAACATAAAAAATTAACATAAGAACTGCTACTAACTCTTTGTTTGTTTTAACACGCATTACATACATTCTATAGAAGGGATTGCATATTAATTAAATTTAACCAAACCAGGGTACCAGCTAGTCTAGATATAAAAAATCACATCGAGGTAAGTGGACGCAGGTCGTTCACATAACTCGTGTATTTCTGTCAGGTGACCCGGTTACAGATTGCGTACGCGTCTCAGGTGCGCTCTCCGTGCCTTGAAAACAGGTAAACAGTGTAACAATGCCAAATAATCAATCATCAATTTAGTAACATGTTGAAAGACTATTTTGGAATTACGTCTTACGTCTACCATATCAGATATGCATGCCTGGTACTTACAGCAACTACGTTTGTTTGTTTTTTGAATATTATCTTTAAGAAATGTGTTATTCTTTTTACTATTTACGCAGTAAATATATCAGAGAATATTTACCTGATAGCAAACGTAACTTTAGTTATAAATCATAATACAATGGATTTTAAAACTTTCGATGAGAAGGGCGACGCATACACAAAAAATTATATCAAAGAATTTAGTTAGATATATCTTCATATAATCTACTTATACTTACCCACTGGTAGATCACGGGCACGTTAATTACAGCCAACTCCATGTTACTTTGTCCTTATAGGGTTTTCTAGAACATTCACCATACTCACCACATCACTTTTACACCAAAATAATATTCGTTTAAATATTTACACGAACACTACACAATTTAGTTTATATGTCCACGACATTTAGCACTTTAAAAACTGATATTTCCGACGTCAAAATTATTATCGAAGTACCCTTCTTTTTGTTCCACAGGAAGATAATTAACTATTATTTTTATTCCGATCTATGCAGTTAATTTCTCACTAAAATTAGTAGGTTTATTATTTCCTTTGTTTCTTCATTCATCGTACTCAAATGTTCATCTTTTCACTACACCAAATTACACTTTTAAACGCAACGTCGTTGTAGATTTTTAATTTTTGTCACAACAATGTTAAACTTTGAAAACAATCGCGGCTTAATTATTTGGAACGTTAACAATTTCAATTTCCATTCGAATCTAATGAATTCTTAATTAATCTAATGAATTTTGATTTTAAATATAACCTAAAGTTTAAAGTGACGCAAACTAAACACTTTCATTATGAGAAAAAGGACAAAAGTAAACAACATTCAGCCACATAAAACTTTATTACAGATAAAATATAATGATATTGATAAATAAAATACATCTATTACGATATTTATTTAATCGACGTAAAAGAAATGCCTACATTTACAATATTCAATAGATGCAATGCCTGCGTTAAAACATGAAAACATCAGTTTTTTATTGTTTTAACAAAATGTAAAAAAAATAAAATCATGGAAAATATAAATATATCGATACATTAATAGCTTTGTTTTTTAACTAGCTTTTGACCGCATAGAATAAAAAAAAATTGTCAATTGTAACGAAGAAATAACACATTTGAAAGAGAGAGAAGATTAAATGTCAAGTTGTGTCACACTTTCATTATTTCAATATTATCTATTTGTCTACATTTTAAAGAAGGCAAAAAATATTAAAATTAAATAAAACTATTAATTTTGTCTAAATGCACGAATTTACTTTTACAGGGATATTTCGTCTTTCATCTTTGATATGCAAATAAATTTGAGATTGGAACACTTTAAAAAGTGCAGTTCAATTATTTCGGTAAGTTTGCGCAAACAATATATTTAATGATTTCATACTTGGCATTAAAAAAATCAATTATTAATACTGAAATTAACAAAATTGTTTTTACTAGTTGTCAAATAGCGACGTCACCGGAGATTGTCAATATTTTTTTACAATAAAAATGCCAAGGACCTTCTTATATCACAAAGTGAAAAAAACAACGATAATTCTATTTGTGCATGCGATTATGACACTTATGGGTAAAGATTAACGATTATATTTGCATACTAATTTTTTAAATACAATAAACACGATACATTTTTAAAACGATTTAATCGTTCAACATGTTACATCACTTTTTAACTACGACATAAACACTACTTATTATTTTAGAAATTAAAAAGTTCCGATTATTTTCAAGGTTATAATAGGTTATAAGGTAAGGGAATAGATTTAACCAATTATTTTTAATCTATAAAATTGAAATTACAACACCGACATATTTGAGGTTATAATAAGAAATTAATTTGATCAAATTCTACGATTACATTTTACACAAGCGAATATTGATAAAATTTTATTAATTTAAAAATATTTAACGGTAAATCAGTACCGCAGTAATATGTAGGTAAATAATAATTTTCATTAATATAAAGACAATATATACAAATATTTGAAATGTTTATGTATTTTATTATGTATTTCTTATGAATCTTAATACCTATTTTTAAGGTTAATCGTAAGCTTCCACTTCTATTTAACGTGGACAAAAATAACTTGTTGTCTCTGTCTTTTCAACTAGAACGAGGGAGAAGGCAATATGTTACAAGTTACATCAAGATTTCTCTTCTCTTTGATATAATAAAAGGTTCAAAAGAAAAGCAGTTTCTTCTTAATACTTACTTTCTAAGTCCTCTTGCGTTTATTAGTTTTTAAAGGCTTTTATTTTAAATACAATTAGTCTTAGATACATCTATACTTTTAAGGTACAACTTGCGCGATTTTCTATACATGAGTACAAAGGCTGAAACCAAACATACTAAGTGATTTTTTTCTACTGACTAATTTAAATGAAAAAAATAACACGATTAAATAGAGTAATTGTTAATTTCATTTATATTTATATTTGGAATACTACAAGGTTATAGATAATACGACACTCATTAAAAACTACATTTCATAATCTATCTAAAAGTGGTTTTACAAATATTATTTGTATACATCAAAAAGCACATCAAGCTTCAGAAACGTCCGTTGTTGTTGACAACTTCAAATTGAATGATTATAAACACTGCCCAAAATACCTACGGTTTTCCGTCTCCCTCGCACTTACGCCTGCTTCAGTACGTGCGAGCGGGACCGTAGTTCTGTTGGACAGTGTGTCCCGTCTCACTCGGTGTCGAGGCTCGGTACCATTTCGCCGCAGCCGAGGTTGTGCGATGTGTGCAGGATGGACTGGGGCATCTGTGGAGCTCGGAGCTTCGCAGAGCTGATCTCATTGCTCTGCACCCATAGTTCCAACTGAAAGGGATATTTAATAGCTTATTATCAAGGACTATCCATAAATTACGTCACACGAATTTCATGATTTTTTATATTCATTCATTTGTAACACCTACTTACCTGGTGTGAGGAAATTTTACAAATGATTAATCAAAATATATATTGAAAAAGTGTCACAAAATTTGGGAACCCTAACAGATCCACGTCCGTCAGTCACTCTATATCCACCCCCTTCTACCCACATACGTATGTATGAGTGAATGAAGGAACGAATGAATGAAAGTTAACCTCCGGTGGCATCTTGGCGGGCGTGGGCTGGCAGGTACCGGCGCAGTGCAACTGCAGGAGCAACTCAGCGATGGCCGCCGCGGAGGTATCAATGACGCGCTGCCGGCACACCGCCACTGCGTGTACGAAGCCCCCGGGACCCACGAACTCATGCTCCATGAACAATGTCTTCTCATCCCAGTATACTGCCTGATAATAACATATTGAGTAATAAATCAATTCGTTACATTGAGTTTCAATTGGTCGTTAGTTTTTAGGATGTAATATAAAATTCCATACTTTAGATGTGATTTTGAAGCGTGTGAACGGCTTGAGGTATCGTCGGTAGCGTATAGTGGCCGCTGCCTGTACCACAGCACCGCCAGCCGCCTTAATGTTAGCGTACAGCCCCGTGCGCTCGTAGAAGTCCGCGCGCGCAAAGTCCAGTTCGCGCAAATAACGCGCGTTGTTCATATGGTACAGCAACGTGTCTATGTCGTTAAGAAGACACCAAGCTAGAAATAAAAAAATTCTAATTATCAACACGGTTTTTGTGTGGCAAAATTATCAATTCGTTATTTTGCTATATTAAATAGGCAGGCGCAATTAAGATATAATTCAGATTGCCTCTTTGGACAAGTTTCTACAATATGCAAAATTCTAATTTTCGTTTGTCTTCTAGACTATCTGTACACTCACAATTGATTTCCGTCGTTTCCAAGATGCAGGCCTTCTTGCGAAAGTACCGAGCACGGGCGACGGTGTACATCATACGGGCAAAGTACGCCACGTCCAGAGAGCCATAGAGCAACAGCGCACCAGCCGCCAGAGCCGCGCCCCACCCCGGTACGCAGACTGTCCACATGGTAACTGCCAAAGACATTCTACTGCCTAATTCCTAATCCGGGGACAATACTAGAAAACGCATAGACTATATGATTTTGAGGAAGATCTACCATACATATATCTAGTATGCAAGAAACATAAAATGAAATACAATCTTATAATAACTTTGAAAATTCCAATAATTTAGATCCGTTCAGATGAAATACAACACAAAAATGATGGAAGAACATTTCAAGAGCAATGGCAAATAATGTATAGGTATATTACGTGTGAAAAGCCGCAGCTTTTCCAAAATGGTATATTTTCCAAACCGTTTACTGTTAACTAACTGAAAACACGAAATATGTTTAAATTGTATTTGAAATGGACAGTGTGAGGTTCAAGTACTATGTTCAAGTACCTATGCCAGTAGGCTCTTGAATAGTATCTGCAGATGTGACATGCAAATTTACAAAGAGACATGTTTGCTGCTAAATACGAGTAATTGCTTATCACTTTACTCTTAAAGTTACAATATTTTATAAATAACTTACCTTTTATCTACAAACCGGAACACTCAAATCACCATAGTAATCAGAAATTAAATCGATAATCTATCACTATTGACTTTTTAGGTAGTTTAAACTATGTTAAATACATTTAACAAGAAAAATATTAGGTAGAAAATGTTAGAAATGGTAAAAATAACCTATTAACTGTCGCAGTGGATTTTTTCACGTACAAAATTTAAATGACATGTCTGAAATGCGCGCGCAGTTCGATCCGGCTGCAGAGACGTTGTATCCTATTTGTTCTATTCTAATCTTTATTTCCTTAAGAGTAAAGATCTTTTTACAACAAACATAAAATCCAGCAATTGATTTGTATATACAGATAAAATAACAACTTTTTTGTAATTGAAAACTTAAATTCCAATTTAATTATAACAGACTTCTATTGACTTTTTTTTGGATCATCATTTAATTAACCTGATTTAGGTAAGGCTTTGACTAAATCAAAAAAGATTGCCAAATATGTTAAATCCATATTTGTAATTGTAATACTTTTAACGCGTAACGGCAAAATAAAAATTTTTATACATACCAAAACAAACTTTCAACTATGTTATATATTCTGCTCACCCTATTATTATTATATTGCTGATGTTTTAAAATCGGTATCTTTACATATTCAATTTGAGTTGATAATAATTACGAAACTGCTTTTAACAAAGTTAGAAGAGAGCTAATAGTGAAAGCTTATATTCATTTAAAAAGTATGTACTTATTCGTACTTGCAATTTGTAACCAAGGCGAAGTTTTTATCGTTAGTTCAATGTTTGGTAACCTCTTTATTTCATTAATAATTCTCAAATATCTTGCCTCATATTTGCATTTAACAACGTCCCCGGCTTTTTAACAACCAAACAAGTATGAGCTACGAAAAGTTTACATTCATCTCTTACTTTTAAATATTTAGTAGAGATAAAAGCTCATTTTACATTGGTTATCGTGGTTGATCACGACAGCTCGTATATCGTCACGATACTAGCACACGAGACGCTGCGTGATGTCGGTGACCTCAACAGGATATTACTGTCTCCGTCTGACGCCTGTAGAAAGAAAGAGACACAACTACAACGTACGATCCGACATTTTGATTCTTGTTAGTGACGTATCAGACAAGGGAGTGTAAACTGTGTTTTGTATTATTAACATTGTTATTTATAGATAAATAAAGTAATAATATATTGTGAATTTTAAGTGAAAATGCCTAAAGAATTTAAATACGATGTAGTACTTCTTATTGAAAGTGTCCGTGATAGACCGTGCCTTTGGGATAAGTCGTTGGAAAATTACAAAGACCGCGTCGAAAGGAGAGCAGCTTGGGAAGAAATATTTTCAATTTTGGACGAGGGCTATGAAGAAATGTCGCCGGAGATGAAGAGGACAACGGGTAAACAGTAAAATACAAAGTGCATGTTTCCATTTAAACACGACACGACAGTTTTAACCGTGAAAATCTACTGTTCCACACTTGTACTGCCATAAAATTGTCTCTGTTTTTTCAACGAGAATGAAAGAGATGACAATGTGTTTTTCACACAAGTGTTTCGACGGTAAAGTCACTTCATATTTTAAGGAAGTAAAATAAACTTGTCGCATTTTATTTATGTAAATAGTGATATACACGATGAATTTAATAGTTTTGTTATCAAACTTTTCGTAGTTCTCATGTAAATCTATTTTTTCTACTTTTTATCAATTGTTGCTTACATCAACCAAATTCATCGCACCTAAAAACTATTTAGGTCAGCATTTCGGTTGCATTATATTATTCCCAATCCTTTTTCATGTGCTAATACGATATTCTATGCTCACTTCCACTCTCTGTTCATCCATAAAACGCCCACTCCTGGGCTTATTCCTCCCCCAATAATCGGTCCTGGGCTACCCGCGTCTAGGATACTAACTTGCCTATATTCCGTATTTCCAGGTGAACTCATACTTAATAAATGGACAAACATTCGAGATACATTCGTGAAGACCCTTAAGACGAGAATGGGCAAGCCTAAGAAAAAGTATTTATTACATGAACATCTTAAATTTCTTACAAAAATAACACCAGAGGATCACTGCAATCTTGATGTTTACAATTCCGATGTACCCATATCATATTTTAAAATAGAAAAAGAAGAAATAGTAAAACCTAGTTATAGCAGAAAGAGAAATAAACAACAAGATGAAAATGAAGCGATCCTACCAAAGAAATCATCAGTATTCGATGCTAGTAATGAAATAGATTTCGTTGGCGTTGATGAGACGAACGATCCTAGGGTTATGAATGAGGATGAAGCATTTTTTGCGTCCCTACTTCCCACAGTCGTAAAATACAACGAAGACGAACGATTAGAATTTAGAATGGAAGTGTTGGCTGTAATGAAAAATATAAAAGATAAGAGGAAATGTTCCGAAGACAATTAAAGTATTGGAATAATGGGTGGGTGGGCGTGTTCACAAAAGTACAAAGATTCTGTTAAGAAATGGAAGACAGGAGTCACAAAAATGCTTTTTAAGGGCAAAGATTGAAAGGTCTTCCAATGTTGGTGAACGTATATTCGTGCGAATTTTTCATGTGGAGAAACAAAAGATTTATAGCAAAGTTGTGAGAGACGTTACATTTTAGAAGTGACTGTTGTGCTCTCTACGAAGTTACGAAATTAAAAAGTCTATTTTTATAGCGACAAATGTACATATTAAAATATAAGTACACAGTACAACTACTGTTTTACCACCAAATAAAAATATTTTATATCAAAACCTGTTACTTTTTGTTACCCTTCTAGTCATTCACTGTGCTCAATAATTATGAAACAAAATAAAATAATCTAGGCTTACAAAACACATCTATGACAGAGAAGTGAGGATAGTGCTAACTTTGACATACGTGCGAAAAGGATAGGGAGATGATTTATCCTCGAAATATTTCTTGGGTGAAAAATGGGGACCGCAGGTTAGAACCGCTACACACCTTCAGTATTAACTGAACAATTGAAAAGTACAGTCAAATCTTACGTGTTTAGTAAAAACTGAGAACTCTACATATCAACTGAGCACACACAAATTTTTAACTATAATTCTCAACTGTTCAGTTTAAACTAAACGTGTGCAAGCACTTTTTAGTTGTCTTGTTCTTGGGCTTCTGTTTCTTGCTATAAAATAAAATACATTAAATTAATCGATAAGTTTTAATTACCATTTTTATATGGAGCAATTTTTAAAATAATATTTACATTATCACAAAGAAAACAAAAGTCACAAGGTTGAAAATAAAAAAATCACATATATGAAACACAAATTAGTTATTTAAATTACATCTAATAAATTTTAAAAATTAAATAAAACAACATAGGACAAAAAAAACGTTTCTCCTCAATTTATATCTGACAATATCGACCTACAATATTTGCGAACAACAATATATTTGGATTATATAAAAAAAATTTGAACCTTACGTTTACGAAATGGCAGAAAAACGATGTCGCCTTTAATACGGGGGAGAGAAATTAAAAAAAAAACATTTCAAAGGTTTCAAAAACATCTTAAGTAATGCGTTACTAACATTGAATCACTTGACCGAAGAATTATCGGGTTTTGTGGCCGCGCCGAATCACGAAACATTACCTAATACAACTATCTTACAGCTACATTAATCGTGTTTCGGATGAGAAAATATGAAACATATTGATTTAATTCAAGGTCATAAATGTCATTTTATTTAAATGATAAAAATAATCATAAATAGTAGTAGTTGATGGGGTCCACTAGTAACTAAAAGAAGAAGAATCATGAAAAGTTAAAACGATTACTAAACATTGATTAAAATAAAATTGTTGAATCGTTGAATTATATGTTCGTAAATGATTAATTTTCAACTCCATTTATTCATGACAACTAAATGTAATGCCTTATATATCTTGATTTTTGATATAAATAAAACATATTACTGGTAACTTAGCAAAACTATCACTATCTCACTCTATTCCATTGAGGTTTAAATACCTAAAAGGTAACGTAAAACTGTACGTAAAGCTAAAGTTCAACTAAAACAAAGTAAACTCGATTTAAATCAAGAAATTTCAATATTTATCTCACCACAACACAATGTATTAACGTCCACTAATTAATATTCATAATAAACCCGCGTTATGATATCGGGCATGACAATTTGCTATAAATGCGCCCGTACTTGCTAAATTCACTAAATCTTAAACATTTCTCCCCATCCTCCGCACTTTATATACAGTGAGAAAGTCATATGAACATTTCTCAAGAATACAGCTATGTTGAATAGTTATATATTTTATCTAAATCTGCATATTTATATACAGAAGCGAGTTGAATACTGAAAGTTAGTATTCGGTGCGCCTTCCGCCGCAACACTGACATTTATAGTAGTGACTAGACGCTCCCCGAAAGCGAAATGGGCGGGCTAATTATTTACATAGTATATAAATTAATCTATGGATATTAAAAAAAATTCAAATACCTTAAATAAATTGATCATTTAAATTATCGGCCGCTCTTTAAATTATAAAAAAAATTGATAGCAAATCATTTTATCGTAAATGTAGTACAGTCGCGTCGAAAAGATTCTTGTTATTTAAAAATAAATATCCCACTTTTTTAAAGCTGGTTTTATAACGGTCGATAGATTTTGTGCATCACCATGGAAGTAGCTTATTATCTAGACGAATATAATACATTATTAGAGTAATATAAAAACAAAATACAAAACATTTTCTTTGAATAATGTGAAACATACTAAGGAGAAAATTTAATCAGTCTAACATCAAGAAGGGGACACATTTAACATCGTATCGAAGTCGCTAATTCCTAGATAATATATTAAATTCACGTTTGAGTATAGCCTGTAATTTCTAAAGGAAACACTTAGCCTACAATCAAATTATACCTACAGAAGTACAGTTTTTACAATCATCTAGTATTTCATATATAATGAATATATTACAAGAATTACAAAAAATAATAACAATCAAAATGCCTCAATGAGAAGTCACGAAGAAGCGTACAAAAGATTTGAACTGACCGGTGACAGATCGCAACTGATTCACTCCTAACACTTAAAGGAAACGGCTTAAGCTAATCAACAGAAGGTACAGTCGCGAAATTCAGCAACACAAGGTTATATACAAAACAAGTTTAACAATTTCTTTTTTTTATCACTATATTAAAACTACAAAATGGAACCTCACGCGAATGAGATCATCGTTCAGTCTGGTATGCTTGGCTTTATACAAGTGGTGTGTCGTGTTTAGTGCATGTTGTAGTCCAGGGTGGGCTTCCTCGGCTTGGGCTTCTTGGGGCGCGGCGGCAGGGGCGAGCCGGAGCAGCAGTGGCAGCAACGCTTAACCACGCCGCGGCCGGACGCGCGCCGCCGCACGTCCATGCTGTCCAGCCTCTCTCCGGCTCTCGTCTTCCCCGACAGACTCCTGCCCGGATCCCTGTCCCCGGGATGGTGGTACACCCGCTTGGCGGGATACGTGCGCAGCGGTGGCATGGCATCGTCGGCCGAGGAGCCGTCTGCGCTGCCGCTGCGGTCTATTCCCCTCGCGTCCTTGATCACCGAGTCCAGTCTCACTTGCGGGCCCATGAGCCCGTATGAGTCCATGGAGTTGTTCTCGTCGTACGGCGGGCTCTTGCAACACTTTTCGCTGTCGCTGCTGTAGTCCATATGTCGTCTGCTCTCTAAGCGATCCATCATAGAATTAGATTCCCAATACAGTTCCGGCGGGCGCTCCGGTGATAATCGATCGTAGTCCACGTCCCCTGACATGGATTCGAGCGCCTCCCTCGAGCTGTCTTCTCCCATCATTTTGGCATGGTCACCATCCATCAATGTGTCAGTATCGTCCATGAGGAACCTCGGATCTCGTTTGTCATCATCGTACCCGACTCTTCTGATGACCTGTGTGGCGTTGCCGACCGAGTGGACGATGGCGGAGGCGGTGTTGGAGAGATGCAGTTCCCGGGAATCAGTCAGGATGCTGTCGTACCTCGTTAGGCCGTCATCTTTTACGAGTACGGTGGATAGGTTGAGGTTGTGTTGTTGTGCGACCGGCGGGTTGATGATGTTCTCCATGTGTGTGTATCTGACGTTGTGCTGTATGTGAGGGCTGTCGTGACTCGCCTGGGAGATGACAGTGGTCTGCGGGCCCATCAGCACCGTACCCGGGGCTCTACTAGCATGGAATATTGTCGATGTAACATGACGGCTTTTAACTTCCGATATTGTATAAGGATGCATCTGAAATTATTTATTGAGTTTATAACTACTCTTCGAAATATAATTTATGGTCCAATAAAATCAAGGTGATGTACAAATGTGTCGCAATATATGCGACACAGAAAAATATAGCATAGAAATGAGTGTTTAATAGATTAATTAATTATCTATTATCTAGAATAATGAATCACTTTTACCTCCGTTTCTTCTGTTGGTTCCTTATGGAAGGTTGTATTGGGATGTGACCTTGCAAACTCCTCGTGATCCAAGGTGATAGTGGCTCCGTTCTCAGTCACCGTGACTATACCGACGTCATCCAATCCCAGATTCATGGCCAGGTCACTGTTGGTTTCCTCCTGCAGGTCGGGGCGCTGCAGGAGGTGGTCGCTGGCGATTTGATCGTCCATGTCAGGGCGAGGCATGCTTTGGTTAATTATAATTGGTGGAGCTGCAACACAAACAGTAGTATAAAGAAACAATTTGGACCTTTTCGTGACAGTGTAAAGGCTAAGTTTATGTCCAAGACCCCCATTTTGGTCTTATGGTCTGAATGATACTCACGTGTGTGCGGGCGGTGTGGGTGCGGTTCCTGCGTGTGGTCCTGCTGTGCCGGAGAGCCGGCGAACAGCAGCTCGGCCTCCGGGAATAGTTCCGAGGCAGACGGCGAGTCCACGCCCAAGTCTTCGCATTCCTCGGATAGCGATTTCTGAAGTCACGGCATTTTTAAACTTTTAGCTAAGCGCAATGCAAAATGTTACTAACAATTAAAACTATTGTATGTTAAGTGTTCTTAGAACTGCTGGTCCAATTCTAAAGAGTGATTTATCATTTAATTTGTATTCTTTCTCGTAATGTTAGTAGTTGGATTGATTTCTGGATTATTTGAGTATAGAAGATTGTTGATTGAGAAATTACTAACCTGCAGCCTTAGTTCGTGTTCCAATATAGCATACTTATGCCTCAGGGCTGCGGCGGTCACGTGAGTCAATCTATGTTGTCGGTGTGTGGAAATGTCTCTCTTCTGCACAACCTATACACAATTATTCAAAATCAATTTGTATAAATACTACTAAACTAAATACAGCATGATATTTTTTTGTTATTATTAACAGGAAAAGCCATTAAGAAGTTTTTTTTTAGAAAATAATTAAAGCAAAAAGCTGGAAAAGTATATTTTTGTTGTTGATATTTAAACAAAAGTTTTTTTTAGACTACGACAACGATTAAGGCTAGTTGAATACCATGTATGAATTCCTAACAGCTGTAGTTTTAGAAGAAAATAATATGTTTTTAATACTATAGTAATAAAGATTTGGAAGTAGGATGACCATTGACGCAATTACATGCACAAATTTAATGCAGGAACTTGACAATGAGGGTAGATATAAAAGAACCCTTTCGTAACATGCAAAATAAAATGAAATATGATTTCATTTCGCTATTTTATATTTTATTAATAGAAAGGAAGCAGAATAGAGTTCTCCTCGAAATTAATTCAGTAATATAGAAATGATACGACTATTCGAATCGGAGGCAACATTTACTATGAAAAATAACTTTTAACTTTTTCATCTTCGTTACCTGTGAAGGATGCCAGGGTTATATACTTTTGGTTGTAGCGACTTTGTTTTTCTAATTACATATTTTTGTTTTATTATTGTTTTTTTAACAATTAAGTATCATTTTGAAATACTTATAAGCAAGGAAGCATGTTAAGGCTATTTGACAACATGAACAAATGCAATTAGATGATATTTTTTTTATTGTTCAGCTGAATGCAGCGTGAATCAACATGTCGCATGTAAGTATCGATAACGGCAAAACCAACACGGAACGAAGAGGAAAGCATATAAAACAAAGAGAGGCGTGCAGGTTCTACGTAAGAAGGCGGATCTATAGGGGGGCTGCGACGGTACTACGATGTTGTCACCTGAGGGTAGCACTTATCGTCGCAATCAGACGCGTCTACATCATAACCGCATCGCGGCGACTCATCCTGAGTATCGACAACGTAAGACCTTTTCGTTTCTACTTCGAACATCTTATCAAAGATCCTTTGCGCCTCCATTTCGGGACTGTATCGATCTGGGATCGGGTCCTGTAGTTGCAAAATGGAATCACTTTCGGTTTACGATCGGTTATTCACTTAGGAAATATTACGCCGAGGAATAAATAGGTAATATAAGTAAATATATGGTATAGGTTTGATAATACATTTATATTATATTATGAATAGGATAAAGAAGTACTTAAATGTAAGAAAATGCTGTACTTACAAGTACGGTCCTGTCCAAGTTGTCGGTGCGCACAGTCTCTTCGTAGGTGTATTCGTGCGTACTGGCCGATGTCGGAACGTTCCAAGGCTCGGACCCGGCCGGACTCGGGGTCCGTTCCGGTTTAACATCTTGGGTCTCTTTTTCGGTCCAAGGCGTGGCTGCCGTTCCAGTTTCGACGAGGCCTGGGGGCGTCGTTGCGGATGGGGGCGATATCGTGCTGTCGGGCGGCTGTACCGTCGTCGCCGTTGCGAAGTTGAACGCGTGGAGATTGTGCAGCGCTGCCGCGGGCAACCGCACGTGGCGCACACCGGTCCGGGCCAGCATGGGTTTCAGCCCAGCAGGACCGATCAGCCGTTGCAACAACAGCGCACCCGTTGTCCCTCCTTCGCCGCTCACGGTTAACAGTTTTGGACCACGATTTGTGACTATAGCGATTTGCTGACCCTTCAGCATAGAGACTGGCAGGATATAGTTGGCCGGCATAAGCAAGGCCGTAGCGGGCTTTCCCGTTGGTCCCCGGGCGACGGTGATAGTCTGACCATCCGCAACTATAACATTACGCTGCAACTGCGGTCGCGGTTGAGCGGGCGGTGTTTCGTTTTCGAATGACAACTTTCTTGGCAGTTTACGTGGACTGTCTTGCGGCGAAGGGCTTTCTAAGCAGTTCTCATTATAGTCGCCTTGTGATGTTCCACAGCTGCTGTCTTCGGAGCCCATAGTGCGATTGGCGTCATCGCCATGTATGGGACTCGAGTCTCGTGCACCCGATCGTCTTGAGCCACTAGAACTCTTCTTTCGCTTCGAGGATCCAGGATTGGATGGTGGATTTGTTCGTCTACGGGGTGCTGGTTTGTTCTTATCCGGACAATTCTCAACTTGCTCTCTATATTCGGCTAATATATAGAGGATTCTTTGCGTCGTCTGCTCATCTTCTAGCGGCTTCTGTGTTGAGGGCTTAGGCGGTACATTATTTAATTTTAATGTGTTTGGAGGATTCGACGAAGCTTTAGGTCTTGGTCTTGATCTAGAACTAACTTTAACTGGCTTTGGATTGCTTTGTTGCGCAGATGTACTACTGGAGGTTGTAGCAGATGTAACTGTTTGTGAAACCTGAATGTGACTCGAAGAAGTGGGAGATTCAGTTACTGATGAATCTGGGGATCGGACGAACGTTGAAGTAGTTGGTGTTGTAACGGTAGACTTTCTATTCACATATGCGATATTAAACTGTTGATTTGTTCCTGCAGAATATAGTACTTGAGATGGCTCTGTAGCTGTCGGTCCGGCTGAGGCGCTGTCGTTCGCTTCACTAGACGTGGTAGTGTGAGGTTTCGACATAGAGTTAATTGCAGTAGAATTCGGGTGTACCGTGCTCCTTTCTTTGACTTGTTCCAATACCATGTCAAATTCTCTTAATTGTTCAAGAGTCGATGAACTCAATTGTGATTCCGGGGGACTTTCGTTAGGTACTTTAATTTGCCTCGTCATTTGCGTTTGTGGTAATCTTATAGTCTGTTGGCCCAGTGGCGGTGCAGCAGTTAGCACCAACTGTTGATAAACAGGTTGGTTGGTGCCTCCGATGACGTTTCTTTGTATTTGAAAAAATGATGGTCTAACTACCCTCGTACCAGATACCATTTGTGGTGCTTTACTCAACATCGGCAATTTTATTCGCATCTGTGTTAAAACAGGTGGTGTTTGAGTATTTTGCGCACCTTCATTTAAAGTACCAGTATTATGATTTGGTTCATCAGGTGACAAGTCAGAGGTAGTCGTTGTTTGTGGTACAATTTTAATTATAGATGGTTCAACAATTTCACCTTGATTAACATACTTGACATCAGATTGTTTGTGGTTAGAGTCATCTACAAGCTCTGTACTAGGTACTGTTATCAAATTTATTGTCTGTCCTCCACCAATATTGACAGGTATTTGTCGTGTATAAATAACTCCACCGTGCATAGTTTGAATATTCATAGGAGTATTCGTAGGAGTAACGGACTGCTTAATGTGTTGAACTAAACTAGGTTGGGCTTGCGAATTTTGGGGTGATTTTCGCAACAACAATGGCGGGCTACTGATTTGCCCAATGTGATCAAGATTCATACCATTATCGGAAGTTTCAGAAGTATCATCAATTGAATTCACTGGCTGTAAGTGAGCGTCGTTACTATTCATTTCGCTTTCTTTTTGATTTTCCTCTTGAAATACAGGTTTTCCAAACGCTTGATTAAATTTTGGAAGGCTTGTGGCTTTTTCTGGACTACATTTACTCGAAGTATTTTGGATAAATTTAGCATAGTTTTCCTCGTAAACAGATCGAGATTTTATTTCTTGTTGTGTATTGATGTTTTCTTGTACAAGTACATTACTTGGTACAGGAGGTGATGGGCTAAGTTGTTCAGTATTTGACAGGCCATCTTGTACACTTTGAGCTTCGATGGGCTGTAATCTCAGAACCATACTACCTTGATGTGGGGCGTTTAGCTGAATTGCTTTGCCGTCGGGAGATTTACACACGAATTGTAACATTTTTTGTTCATTTGAACCTTGGACATTAGCAAGATTAGTAAGAAGATTTACCCTTTTAAGAAGTTGATTTGCATTGTTATCTTTCGTATTTCCAGTGTTGACTATGTGGAGGAGTTGGTTGTTAGTTTGCTGTAATCCAGATTCTACCAGAGACAAGGCCCCGAACGAATTAGTTTGCTGTACAGGGGTTCCGTTAGAACTGGCGTTTGTATTTGGGCCCTTGTTTTGTACAATATGCAAAACAGGAGCAGCATTCGGTGTATTTATAACAGACTGCTGAACGTTATCTACAAGTGTTATTTGATTACGTTCATCATTTTTTCCGTGAACAATATGCAATACTTGTGGTGCTAAAGATGGCGTCTGTGCATCAGATTCTGCGCTAGTTGTCTGATTTAAAGGTGGAGGAAGAATTTGTGCTAAAGCTTGCTGCAAAGCTACTGCGTTAATGGATGCGGCATTTGAACAACTGTCTATGTGATTTTGAGTCGAATCAACGTTGTTTTGATGTAATTTTTCAGACATAATGTCTGAAAAATTACATTCTGAACTGTCCTCAACCGTTGTAGCAATACCAGCGGCATTCATTGCATGAGCTATCTGATCCGTTCTCTCAGATACATTATTATTTTCGTTGTTACTTGATTCAAAAAAAGTCGTCGGAGTATCTATCTCTGGACATTCATTTCCAACATTGGGGTCGTAATGATAAACTGAGTTATTTGTATCTTCTTTTCCCAACATTCGCAATTCCTTATTTCTAAGACTCAAATCCTGAACTTCTTCGTGATTATAATCTTCTTTAGGATCAATTTTACAATAAATATATTCAGACTGCAAAATTTCTTGGTTATTATGTAAATGTGCCGGTTCCTGTGATTCTGTTATTTTATGACAATCATGACGATTATACTCTGCTACTAAGGGTAAACTAAGGTCTGCAGTTGTGAGTTCTGTATATTCTGTTTTTACTGGTGACTGGGATTCTTCATGTGAACTATTTTCTTCGGAACATTGCGGAGGACTGGCGTTTGCAACTTGCGTTACGCGGGGATCACAACTAACAGGGTTTTGCGCAGCAGTACTTACCGGTAGCTGACCAATTTGAACAACTTGTACAATAGTTTCGATTGGAGGAGGTTCAATAAAATCATGCAAGTAAAGGTCTAGTGGGCAATTTGTGAAATTACAATCTCCATTGAAATTACTCATCATATCCTTATCCTTCAAATTATCTCTCATCCAGTTATACTTCAACTCCATGGCTGTTTTCTTAAAATACGAACGTACCTTGTCTTTTAATTGTATGTAATCAGTGTAAGGTTTTAATTTAATGTTTTGGTCTTCCATGGATGAATTGGATACCTCATTTGAATTTTCGCAGTCCACATATTCATTGGACATTAAAAACGGCTGAGATTGCTTTACGTCCGACAGAGTCGCAGCCGAAAATTTTAAAGTTTTATCCTTCTTTTCTAAATTTTGTATGACTCTGCCGGACTCCTCACCAAAACCCATACTGAAATTGGTTTCACTAATATCATCAGAAGTTATTGGATATTCAATATAACTAGAGGATAATTCTTCCTCCAATGTTTGTTTTAAAGGATCCGGAAAACACGGCGATTCTGAATTGTCTTTAAAGATATCAGACGACTCAGTGACAGATGGCACGTGGTATGTTTCTTTTATGGGCCAAGCCCTGTGTAAGTCCGTAATGTTAATGTGTTCTTTATCAAATGACCTTGTATAGGAAAATTTTATAGAACCATAATAATTTAATAGCCGTTTATACTCTTGACCATACGCTGTATTTCTTTGTGTGACAACGCTTGCTTTTAAATAATCGATGTTTTTGCTTTTTCTGTATCGTTTTCCACAAATTTTATAATCTAGAGAATTTTTGCGTTTTATGCCTCTTTTACTTAATTTGTCGAAAGAATAATTTTTATTTTCTTCTTTGTATTTTGAATATGTTTTTATTGGTGGTATAACTGTAAAACTTTCATCGCTTTGTACATCAACAATGGTACTAGACTTTATTTGGACCTTATTATCATCGTTATTTGTATCATCACCTTGTTTATCATTACAAAAGTAATCACCTTCATTAACTACATCAGAAAATAATGTAGTACTTTCCAAAGGAAACATGTAACATGTGCCAGCAATAGGATCTTCATACTCAATTCCATTTAATACAATTTCAGCATTATCTTGATAAACAAGTGTCACATTTCTAAGAACATCGTACGCCTCTTCAGGTACTTCGTCGTTTGCTACATTACTATTTTCAATATTTCCTAGAACTACATTTACTTTATTGGTTACAGTTGTTCGTTCTTCTGAATTTAAACAAATTTCATCCTCGGTGGTGACATTTGAATGATTTAAGTCATTATAGACACCCATACTAGTTGTTGCATAGTTATGGTCCGTGTTAATGAAATTTATTTTATATTGAGACTGGCTAAATTTTACTGAATTATCACAAATATCTTCTGAAATATTAATATTTGAAAATAAAGTGTCGTTAATATTTTGGGTTGGATTTAATGAATTAGAAATTTCCTTGCATATGTTTGCATTAGCATTAGTTATTGCTGTCTTTTCTAATTTGATATCATCAATGTTGTAAACATCAATTTTTGTACGCTCGGTTTTATTTAATATTTTTGCATCTTTTGAATAATCACCATCACAAATTCCACTTTCGGGTTTTGGACTGTTTAGATCAATATTATCATCAGTCAATGCGCCAGGTTTGTTTTTAACTTCTTCAGTAATAGCAATTTTTTCGCAGGATGGTGTTTGGTACCTTCTTTTAAGTAAAAGATTACCATCTTTTGCTATTTTTCCAGTGTCCTGTGATAAAGGATATAACAAATCTAAAACTGAGTTACTTTCGAAAAACTTTAATGCCAGTTTACCCAAACTTTGAACTTGAAAGATCGGAAGTGTTTCAATAGTAGAAAGGGCATTTTCTGTTTCAGTGTCATCTTTAATATCCGAGACTGCAACATATTTTGGACTGTTATTATCGAACATATTAGGATCTTGGCGAATGCATTCGTTTGAATTAGCAGTTTGCAGAAATAAATCACGTTTTGTCATTGACCACTCTGCATAACAAGTAACTTCAAAAGACACAGGTAGTTTTACAAACCCTTCTTGTTCATTATTGAAATTTTGAACTTTATCGATCGCAGTATAATCCATTATTTCTCTGCATATTAAAAAATCTGTTAATATTGAACAAGATGAGCTTCGTTCAATTTTTGATTCATATTTATCCTCGTCCTCTTCGACTACGGGATGTATTAAATCATCATTCATATTGCTATACCCGGCGACGTCTTCATTTGTAAGCCGGTTATCACTTTCATTCTCATTGTAAAGCAAAGTTTCATCTACTGGTGATGTTTCTTCATCCAAGAGATGAGGTATTTGACTTTCCTTTTTAATAGAACTATCACAACGCACAAGTTCCACATAACATTTCTGCTTTGATACATCGTATTTTTTCACTAAATCATCGCATCTGTCAAGTTTTAAATAACAATCAAAGTTATATGTGTACTGTTGTGTTATTTTAAGAGGTACATGAAAATCTTGATTTTGTTCTTCAGTTGTCGCAGAAGTAAATTCTATTTCACTATCGTCATTTATTATCAACGTATTCGGGACATTTTGAATGACATCTGTAGTAGTTTCAATTTTAATTTCCCCAGAAACTAAATCTATCTGTTCGTTTAGTATATTATCATTACCACAAACGTTTTCTAGCAGCGTGGTTTCTGAAACGTTTTTATCAGACAGAGGTAGCGGAATTTTAGTGATTTCGGATTCGTCGCTCTTAATATCCTGAAATTGTTCGTTTCCTGACGATAAACTTTCCTCTATGACACACGATCCTTTATCTTTTATGCTTCTATTTAATGCAATTAATTCTTCTGTAGAATATCTCGTTAATGAAACAAAACATTTACTAGTTAACTTCTTTCGATGTTTTGCAAAATCTTCGTTCGAAGAACGAATAAAGAAATTGCCGGAGTCTGTTTGTAAAGTAACACCAGTGTTAATTTCATCATCGCTTATCAAATCTATTGTTTCCACCTCATTTGTATTATTCAAGATCCTGTTTGTCTTCGTAGAATGCCTGATTGATTTCTTTTGGAGAACTTTACTACTGGAAGTCATTTTATTGTTAAAAAAATTTTTCAATAATAGATATTTAACTTCCGAATTGATTTTTAAATTATTGACATCGTAATTCTTTTTTCCTGTGATAATCGCTTTAAATTTTGTTCCGGTAGGCAACACGACACGGAAAGCTTTATGAGCTTTGTTTTTTGATTTTTTGGACGATATTTCTTCAAATATTACTTGATTTAAGTATTTTATTTCACTGTAATTCTTTTGGTCTCGTTTTTTATGAGTAAAATTTTTATGGGTTAATCTATGACTTTGTAATTTGTATTTTGCAAGTTTATCATCATTATTTATAGGTAACAAGTTCGTCAATTTGATTGGAGAAACGCTCGCATCAGACACCTTATCTAGATCTATCACTTCATTATGAACGGTTTTCTTTTGTTTTATAGAAGAACTGTTATTAGTGGATAAGAATTTTTGTATGTTTTTATCCTCACACAAATCATAATTTTTTATAAGTAGTGAGTTTGTACTGGTTTTTTTTCTCGAACCTTCTTTACCAATTACTTTTTTAAGAGTTTTGATTTCATCGTTCGGTTCATCGTCGAGTTTTTTTATTGTACTTTTCTTTTTGTTCAAGCGGCGTAGATAGCTTTTGCCATTAGAAATTTTTGTACTATTAACAATATCTGTGTTAGATTTCTGTTCGTTGAAATCGTGTTTAAAACTAATTTCGTCAACTTCGGAGTCAGGTTTTATATTATTCGCTTCTTGATTTTCTTTGATGACTTTTTGTGATTCGTTTAAGTCATTTTCTTTTTCTTCACCTTTGCCGTTAATTTCAACCGCTATATCCTTAGGCGCAGGAATATCCTTAATAGGTGCACTTAATTTAGTTTTCGATATAACTGACCCTATCAACTGGTCTTCTATGTCAAAGGGTTCATTTTCAATCGAGAATGTGTTAATTGATTGGACAGTTTCGACTTTTTTGGAGACATTTCCATTTATTTTAAGGTTATCTTTAATTCCTGTATTATGTTCTAATTTCTGAGTTGCATTATCTTGATCATAATTTATAATTACACTTGCTTTAGATTTTCGTACTTTCAGAGCTTTTTTCAAACTATTGGTTATATTAGTTTTTAATATTTTTGTATGTTTTACAGTAGATGTACCTTTTAGTGGTGCATTAGTCATTTTTATTTTACTTTTTGTATTTCTTATGGCATTATTCTTCCTTAATATTATTTTATCTTTATCCATAGCGTAAGATGAAGGTATCTGAGGCGAACGATTACGCCGTAAAGTACCGGAATATCTATTTTTTATTTCATTACTACTCTCTTTTGATTCTGCATCATTTGTTTTATTCTTATCATTTTTGCACTTTTCCAATAATGCATTGCTCGAATATTCGACAGATGAATTTTCATTGAAATCCTCATCAGGAGTTTTTATGTTTAAAACGCTATCATCTTTACTTTCGCTTGAATTGCCGCTTTTTTCTTCTTTTCTATTTAATGCCATATATGGTAATGGTATTGGTGGCAGATTTATATAATGTGTTACTTCTCTATTTATTAATGCCATGCGCTTTTCTTTCAATCTTTCATTTTCTTTGGAAGATATCATTGCGTCAGTATCACCTAAGGATTCTACTTTTGGATACGACTTGCTGTCGTTCTTTGTATGTGATAATTTATCAACCTGTACTTGATGTAATTCATTTCTTTCACGATTCAAGATCAAATTTTTATTGATTTCTAAGTCTACATCAGGAGAACTGCACGGGTTCTTTAGTATAATTTGATTTTTAATTTCGCTTGATGTTGTTCGACTTTCTATAAATTGATTAGAATGGTCGGCACCATTGAGGTTTGGTTTACAAGCATATTTCATAGGTTGGATAGTAGAATTGGGTAACGTATCTTTTATGTTATTTTGCGTCCCAGTTTGCGTAAACGTATTGCCATAAACAACTGGTGGGGCTGCAAATGTTGTTGTAGGTAAAAAAGAAATATTTGGCATACTGTTGACATTTAAATACGTGTTGGGATTGAAGCTACGAACTTGTGCATTTTGGTTTCCTTGTATTTGCATGGTATGATATGGATCGTAAACCGTTTCTGAGCCAATAACAACAGTCCTTGGCGGTATTGTAGTAAAAATAACATTTCTTGAATCTACGTTACTTTCTCTCCTTGGGTAAACATCATTGCTAGCACGAGATAAATGCAATGAACTTTGACTTTCACCAATAGGGGATTTATTTGACGCAATCGTTGTGGAAATGTTTTGTACAATACTGTCTGTACGAGTCATTTTTATGGTTCCAGCAACTGCTATATTAGAATAAGCTTGACCAACACTGCTCAAAGACGACGTAGGTTGTGGAAACTGTGCTAAATTTGTATTTGTAACATTCCGTACTATATTAGTTGTTGCGAATGTGTTATCTTGCTGGAAAACTGTTGCACAGATAGTTTCTACATTCGTCTGTGTATTATCATAGAAACTTTTTTGGAAAGGAGTTACAATAGTTGAGCATTGACTTTCTTTCTTGTCTGTTACATTTGCATAATGTAAAGATTCATCATCTGAAATCAGTTCGCCGATTTCTTGGCGCAGATCGTCATCCATGAGTTCTTCTAAGATATCATAATCAGAATTCGGTATACCAGATATGAAGGGATCTTGGTTGAGAACATCGCACGTATTCTTTGGTATATCGGGTAACGATGTTTTGGGTACGTAATACATATCTGTCTTCTGTATTTCCTGCGGCCTACTTATTCTTTTCGGTAAGTCTGTTGGAGTTGTTGGAACAGTAACTACTGTCTTCTTGATCGAATCTGACGGAACAACTTTCTGATAATCGACATTACTACCATAAGAGGTTTTAGGGGCCTGTTCGTTTCTTTTTACCTTCTCTGCTTTCTCTGCTTTTTCTGTATCAATTTCCTTATTAGCAAGGTGCTTTTGAAATGAATCTTTGTTAAGTGCTACATCAAGAGCATTGGGACCACGGCTTGGTGTTTTATGTTTCAAAAGATCTTCCATGACCAATTTCCAGTCTGATTTTGTTTCGATATCTAAGGATGTTTTTTTCTGGATGTGTCTCTCCCTTTTAACTGGCATCTTAATTTCAGAGTTAACATCCTGTGTTGTACGTGCGACTTCACAAGAACCATCCGACTTCGACACTGATTGTGACGAATAAATCATCGTTTTATTTTCACTTATTGGCATTTTTATGATTGATGGATGCGTTTGATAGCTTGAAGAAATTACTGTATTAGTTTTGGACTCACACTTTTGGACAGTATTTTCATTTTTGAAATCATTCAAACTCTGGACACCTGCTCCACCCAAATCACGGGGGTTAGAAATTGCGTTATGGGTGAAACTTTTACTATCGGTTTTAGATTGGGGTGATGTTTGAGCAGCATGTTTAAATTTCAATTCGGATTTTGTTACAGGACTTTGAGCATTTAACTTATTCTGCTGTCGCAAAAGTAATAGTATATCTTGTTGGTCCTTTTCCAATAGCAAAGACGATTTTGTTGTTCCGATTGTTCCATCGTGTTTTTTAGCGTTTTTTACTACGATTGTTTCCTCGATGGCATCTGTTTTAACCGTGATGGGAATCTTTATATCATTCGATTTTATAACGTTGGATACACCAGATTGATCTTTCGTCAAATTTGGGGAGTTACTAATAACTCTCTTTTGTATTGTTAATGGGTCATCAAGTCCTGTTTTTTGTACAATTAATGGAGTACGGACTTCTTTCTTTTGTATCATGGATGGAGTATCTTTTGACTGTCTGTTGTGAACTCCGGTTCCAACTCGGGATATTGTTAAATCTTTGGTTTGGAGGTAGTGGAATTTTTTTATTTTATGATCAACAATTTGTTTATCCAATTCAGTGGACAATTTTGTTTCTTGCATTTGTTTAATGGTGCTGGTGGCTTTAGGTCTCGCATGACTTTGCTTGTTTTTATGCATATAATTAAGCCTAGCGAATGTATTTGGTGCTTCAGTTATCTTTTGGTGTACAATAGATTTGGCACATTGCGTTGTTAAAGCTGAATGTATTTTTAACTTATTTTGGTTAGTTATAGGAAATGTGTTACTCGAAGGTACATCCTTGTAAAGTTCGTCTTCAATAGTACCAGCATTTATGGTTGCTTTTAATTCATCTACAAAATTTTTGTAACTAGATTTGGTCTCCTTTGTACTTTTCAATTTATCGCATTGTTGCTGCGGCTGTAATTCATTTAAAATTTTGGCTTTCTCATATTGTGGCTGATTTCGAGCTAGAACTTGTTTCTGAGCAATTCGTTTTTCCTTATCTGGCGATCGTTTGCTGTACACTTTGTGGCTAACATTTCTGCCTTCAGGTTTCGTAACAGACGAAACAGTTTTGAGTTTACTTTGAGTATCATTGTCCTTTAATTTCTGTTCATTCAATGTGCTAGTATATTTTGCCAAGCCAAATACAATTCGACCAACATAAAGGTTTCCTGAGTTATTAGATGATATCGGATTTCCATTCAATATGCTTCTCACTTCACTAGTTGAAGGACTTATGTGTTCGAATTGTTTTATATTTGCATTATTCATTGGCGTATTCTGGTGCAAAGGAGAACTTGTCGATGGCACGTAACATGGTTCTTTACTATCGTCCTGTGCTGTCTTGCGTGGCAGCACCATGCTATGTTTATGAGCATTTGAGCTTTCGATAGAACTTTGTAATTGACTTGTAGTGTTTGGTTGGATGTTACTGTCATTCTTTAACCTTCTGAATTCTACCAATTTCTTAATACTTTCCTTGACTATTGTATCGTCTCGTTGGTCTGGAATATCTTTATAGTTGATATTAATGTTAGATTCCTTATCATGGGTATATTTAGTCTGAGGCGATATTACTGGATTAAGACGTAATTCTTTCCTTTTATTTTGGTTATTTATTAATGCTTCATTTATCACTTGGGACAAAGGTTTGTTATCGTCATCTAAATCATCATTTAATTTACTTTCCTTGTAGAGTGCTTGAAGACTTCGATTACTTTTTTCTGGGCTAGAAATATCATCCATCGAGTATAACCCGTCAAAAACAACATTGTCACTGTTATCGGAGTTGAGTGATGGTATAGACAATTTTCTGTTTTGATTCTGTTCTTCACTTTGCTTCTCTAACTTTTCCGAGATATCTTCAACCCTCGTAACTTTCATGCCAATAAGACTTGATAAGGGAATAGATGTTTCTGGGAGACTTGTTTTATCTTTCTTCTTTCGTTCTTTCCTTTCACCTTTCTGTTCCTTCTTTTCAGACGTAAATTTTTCAGTGCTGTCTTTGTTTTTGCTCGATGATTTTGTCTTTGATTTTAATCTTTCTTTACTGTGTGGTCTCTCCTTTTTCTTTTGATTCTGTTGATCATCAGATAATGAAAGTGGATCGATTTCTTCATCAGTGGAATCTAGACGTTTAGATTTTTTCTTTTTCCGTCTCACTGGGGAGGAATCTATATCTTCTATACAACTGGATATCGCATCTTCCGTCTCTGAGTCGAAAAGGACTTGTTGCCATTGATTTTCAGTCTCAACTTCCTCATGTTCTACTAAATGTTCGTAACCTTCGCGGGACAAATTTTACATATATCAGAAATATTATAGGAGATATTCGATTTTTTTCATTTTTGAGGCTTATAATTTATCATCGATCGACAATTCGATTTTAAAATAATTCCGAGATTACATTACAATTTTTTTCCATATTTCAAATATACAAAAAAATGTTAACAGAATAGAACATAAAAGTCACACCTTTATGCTATATTTAGCTTAAAACGTTAATAACTATATAACACACATCCCAATATTTTGGCTTTTGTACAATGTTTATTTTCTTAATTTCATAAATGATAACTTTAGATTTCGGTTGTCTATCTTATGCTTTTGCATACGGCATAATAAATCTTATGGGAACTATAACAGAGTTATTTTCGTAAACCGTAGTAGAAAACACAACAACGTAATAGAAATTGCTCGCATATTAATTTCACTCACCTTTCTCGATGCCGTAATAAATATTATCTTCATCATCCTTTTCAAATGGTAAATGTTGAAAGGATCGAGGATCCAGATTGAGATACTTGAGTTCGGTGGTGAGAGCGCGCGTGCCCCCGTCAGTCCGCTCCATGTACGTCCTGCAGTTCTCCAGCAGGACATCCCTATGCAACAATAGCAATCAAGTACAAATTTAATCATCATTGGGGATTATAAGTTTAAACATAATCCGGAATCGTACGAACGCTCGACAAACGCGTCTGAGTGAGACAGATGTATGCATTTTCCATAACTTTGTCTCGCTCTGACGCGACGCCCGAGCGTTATTCGTATGATTCCAGATAATGTCTTAATAAAGCTTAAATTAAGTTATTTGTTGATTTTTATGACAGCTGAGGAAATTTATTTCGTACCCATTGCAATTAAATCTCATTTGACAATTACAATTCAATAAACCTAAACTTGTCATAAGAATATAGCTCTTAAGATGATTGTCTTACCTGTTAATATCCCATGAGAGTATTTTATGCCTTGGTCCGGAGAGAAGTACTGCCAAGTCTTGACACAAGTCAGTTCCCAAGCCAATCGCCTCTCCTTCCGTTAGTACGGCAGTTGACAACACATTTGCCTGTAATTTTTATAACAAAGGCTCAAAATTTGTTAAAATCAAGATTGAGTGAACATGAAAATTAACCTCTTAGTACATGCCCTAGAGTTAATTAAAAATAAAAATAAAATCTTCTACATCAGTTTCCTTGGTTGATCTTATCAGTTTATGATAAATGGAAATTCAATCAAGTTTGAGCTAATCCATGTTATAAAGGAATAGCTTTTTAAAATTAAACTGAATATTATTGAGTGTAAATTAATTTGAAATTATTTTTCCTTTTGTATTATATTTACTGTTTATTGTTCAGACAACAAATTATTTTAATTAGTCCTGAAAATAGCTAATAAACTTATATTGATACCGATGTTACATCTAAGTAATATGTCACATAACAGACATGAACAGACATGCAAAATGATAAAAAATAAACAAAACCAGGCAAATTTTGTTACAATGATAATTCTAAAATGACATCATAATATCCACCGATAATTAAAGCTACAAATTAAAACTGAATACAAAGATATACATTTTGTTTGGGTCTACATATAAACTTACGATAAGGTTGCCAATGCCTCCATCCTTTAAGGTGAGACAGCATGATATAAAATAATACATAAATAGTGCGAAGAGTAAACAATATTCTGCTCAAATTATTACATTGATGAGAATAAAATTCCCCGGAAAACTTTGGTTGTGCGATCAGTTGATCAACCAGTCCATCAAACAGTTGTAAGACAAAAAATAATTGTGATATTTAATGAAAAGGATTTTGTCCTTTTGGATATGTTGACTCCATCGATCCACTTCCTATATGTAAAAACTATTTTCTAACTTGTACTGTATTAGATAAAATTGTCTACTTACATTATTTTGTATTTGTTTGATATTCAATGTCTCCGAAGTCTTCACAAAGTTAGTCGTCGTCCGACTGTCCGTAGCCCAACTGCCAAACTCCGAGTTTGTGTCCGCTGAGGCTTCAGGGGATTCCTTTAAAATTTATACAACAATATATCAAAAATCAACAGTTTAAAGGATAAAAAATTATCGGAATAATACCAAATATTACATTGCACAAACCAAACATTATGTATTTTCCGTTTCATGTAAAATACATAGAATCCTTAAAAAATCAGTGTAATTCAAATCTTATTTTATAACATATGCTTAATTTTATGTGGCTGTAGGCAAAAATACTTAAGTTACTAGCTGTAAGTACCCTGCGACTCCATCCACGAGGAATTATAAAAACATAATAAGTAGCCTATATATTCTTCAAGACTATGTTCTACATCTATGCCAAATTTCAACAAGATGCGTTTAGCCGTTCCTTAGATAACTTCTAACAAACATCCATCCATCCATCCAAACATTCGCATTTATTAGTAAGATTACTCACATTATTAGTAGTCAATGGTGGTAACGGTGGCGCTGCAACAATGCGCTCGTACATCGCCGGCGAGGGGTGGACAGAGAATGCGGTGAGCGCACACTCGTAGTTCAAACGTGGACTCTTTGACAGCAGCGAGCCCAACTGTGTGAACCATGTGCTTAGCATCTGCTCTGTTGACCTTGCCTCGGACGCCTGGACAAATATATATCATTAAATTTTCACTATTTATCAGCGCGGAATTTACAATAAAATTAATTAGCCTATATGTACTACATTTAGGCCAAACTTCAACGAGATTCACACAGCCCTTCTGAAAAATTTCAGAATATTTATATCATAGTTACCTTTTCAGTCTTTAATTTGAGCCTTTCCAGTTCATTCATTCCAGTGGTTATAGCACGCACGTACAATTCGCATACGAATGCCTTCATTTCATCTTTGCACTGAAAATACATTATTAAAAAGATTTACAACTCCATCATATAATGTAATTTACTTCCTATATGCTCAAAAAAAAAACAAATTTAATCGATTAGTTTCAGATTGCACAAACTAAAAGACATTTTCTCGTCTTATGTACTACCCATACTTTGCTAAATCCACCTCCCATTCCTTCCCTTCCTTATTAAAGGATGATAAGGGGAAAAAATTAGGTCCTCGGTAAACATACTCATCAAACTGCGAAGAGACTTCCATTTGACGCCTGTCTTCTGTGTTTCTGGTCAAGCTGGTCTCGTACAACAGTTGGTAGCAATGTTGGATGTTGTACTTTCGTATGCTTGTGTTACCTTCTCGGCGACAGCAGTGGCCAGAGTGTGCAGATGCGCGGCGGTGGCGGCGGGTGCTGCGAGCGCGTTGGCAGCTCGCGGCAACCCCTCGGGCGGGATGAGCGCGGCGAGGGAGCGCGCACACCGGTACAGCGCGTCGTACACCACGCCCGCGCACGACGGTAACACCATGCACCGGGTTATTGTCACCTTCGTACAAACAATATTACATTAAATATGTATATCTAAAAGAAAGTTAAAAAAAATGTGCATCCTTACTCATTTTAGTATGGTATTCTTATATCAGATAAGGTTTGTGTCCTAATATCTAAATCTATATATATTAATAAAATTGCAGTGTCTTTATGTAATATCGAGAAAAAAGTCATGTTTAGTACACATGATGCTGACACCTTGGTGATAGCAGAAACGAATTTTTAACACATTTGATCTGTTTGCCAGCAAAAAAAAAAGTAGGCTATAATTAGGCTACTTTTTTATTTAATTCTAAATTAATAAAATTACGGTGACCGTTAGTACTCCTATATATAATAAATCATTCTTCTAAATTTATTTACCCCTATGCAGTTATAAAAAACAACCTTTTTCGCCATACACTGTTTAAATAAACAAAAAAAACTAACAATAAATACTACAAACCTGTGCAATGAGTTTAGCAACCTTCTTGGCGTTCTTCCACAGCTTTTTCTCGCGCGGCAGCTTGTCCACGTGACCCAGCATCCGCTCCACTAGCTTGTAGCCGCTGCGCAGAGAACGCTGTTTCGCCTACAACAACCGAAACAAAGATTACTTACTGTCACACTAAGATGAGTTAACAAACACATTGCAATGATACTTTGAAAAAAAAAGAGTTAACAATATATTTTGTACAAATTATACACAGTGGACAACTATGGTTCATCCACCAACATGGCCATTTACCAACAAAAGGTTGGTGCATTACTTATCCATACATCTCATATTAGTAGTTATATAATTAACTCTCTTCTTCTGCATATCCTCATTCACATAATCCATCCACAATTTGTTCGGTCTTCTGCCTTTGTCCATCCACACCTACATTCAATTTCATTTCTTTTGTTTATGTAATCTATCTCAAAAATAAACCTTTTGTTCTTACCAATTCTATACACCGCGATGCATTGTCACCCTGGTAGAGAAGCACAAACTCCAAGTCTGTGAGGAGATCCCAAACTTCTGAGTTAAAACCAGCTTCCCTACTCAATGTGTCCGCAAACGTCGGTTCACTCTTATTCATTTTATCTGTGAGAAAAAAATATCCAATTACTAATCCGAAAGAATTTGATTAAAATTCCCAAGCAATATAACAAGAAACAACACAAATGTACTACCAAATTATATATGAATGTGCTCACTTTTGTCATCAAAGTGCTCAACTTTGTTGATGAAATTGCTCTCATTTGTCATCAAAGTGCTCACCTTTATCCTGTTCATGCGTGGCCGCGGATGCTCGTGCGCGATCCATGACTGCAGTGGCGAGGGAGGCAGCGATGTCGGCGCACGCCTTTGACATCGCTAACTGCCGCAGCCGCGACACGAACATCTCGCTGCGCTCTTCTCTCAGCCATTCTATTACTGCAATATATTTAGAGTTGAATCAGTCAAATCTACACTTAGGGTCTGACTTAGTTGTATTCAGATGTGTATGTGAGATAAATTCTTATATTTGGTAAAACAGCGCACCTTCTTTATCGCTGGGCTTTTCTTCTGTGGGATTCGATAGCCTCTTGAGGATTGGATGTCCCCAAGGATTGGAGAGCACCTTCTTGAACCACTCCGCTCTCTTCAGCAAATGGATTTCCCAGAAAAGACCCGATCCATTTCTTTTCGAGATCGCGTCTTTCCCCTCTTTGATATGAACATCGATCGCTTCTACCAACTTGGCATGCTGTGGCAATATTTCTGGCTTTTGCCATTCCGTCTAACATACAAAAAAACACAGAAATTTGAGATATAATTTATTTGTTTTCTTAAACAAATTTTAAGACACATTTGGACAGATTTTATATAAAGTAATTGATATAACTATCAACACATAGGAAGAGAGATCAGAGATGGCGAAACAACGGCATTTACGCCATGAGTACGAGGTAACCATTGCACTTGGTCAACATTAATGTGGGTTTTGAGTGACGTCTCAGTTTTGTGAAAGAGACTTAAAGGGTTCTTTGGTAAGAGCTACTGACTGCAAGTTTGTCAATGTATAAATAGTCATGTTACATGTAATATAGTCCGTGCGGTGTGCGTCTGCAGCCAGCCGAGCAGGTGCAGGTGGAGCTTGGGAGAGCTCTGCAGGCACAGGCTGTGGATGCACTCCCACGCCTGGCAGAGGTGCTGAGTGCGCTCCTGCAAGCCCCCCTCCCCACTCAGCCGACCGTCTAGGAACTGTATAATACAACAATGCTCTTTGTATTTGTTGTTGAAAATATAAATAAAGGTAGCAGTTGCACATATCTAAAGGGCTTACTTGCAACTGTTGTTCACAAATTATCATGGTTAGTAATAAAGATGTATTTGTGAATAAACATCTTATGCGAGGAAGTTTAATTTAATAATTGAATGACATAACATATTTAGGCAGATTTTAGTATATTTGTACTTTTCTTCAGTTTTTTTTTTATGAGAACCAAAGACAACAACCTATAGACAAACTATACAACAAGATCCTTGATCTCTCAATGTATAACATAGGTTTTCTTAATTTTTTATTTTGCACTTTAGCAATTTTATAGATCTGTTTAGAAACTTCTATTGCTTTCTTTGTTCTTTTACAAAGAGAAGGACAAGTTTGGCATATTCTTATACAGGTGTTTGGAGTGGAAACTGGTAAGGATAGAAATAAAAATACACCAAATGAAAATCTCTATCCCAGTAACCTTCTTGGTGTGCACCGTGCATAAGGAAAATAAATATTTACTAATTATTTCAGAGACCAAAATCTATAAAACATATCATCATCTCTTTCATTATCTTTTAAACAAGGATTTTGGTCTCAGAAACCCAGAATTAGTGACTCCTATGGTATGGTAGAAATTCTATCAATCTACAACACCCGGAAACTGACATTATAAAACATAAATTTTTCCTACCGCTACAAGAAACTATGAATTATAGGCTTGTGTTTTGTTTTAATAAAATTTTCATGTAATATACTTCTGCAGTATTTAAGTCTGACACTATTTCTATAATTATAACTGCTTTCAAATCATTAAACAAGACAATTGTACAAGATTTTTGTTTTGTCTTTTCCTGTGTTTTATAAACTTCAATCATGACAGATTTTTATAATACAAAAAATAGCCTGGTTTTTCTGGGGATATGCAATAGTTAGAAGAATACTAGACTTGAAAATTGACAGAAATTTTTGAATACAACTAACATAGTACTTATTTTTAATTTTTTTTAAATTTATCGTGTGCTAATGAAGTTGCAAATTTTTAATTGTTCATGTTAAAATACATTTTAACATCCATCAATACAACATAACAGCAGCTATTATGAGATTGATTTTCATTAAAATTATCAATAATAGATATTTTTTTACATGGTGATTAAATGAACCAAAGAATTATATAAATCAATTAAGAGGTATATACTTTTCATGAAATAAAAATTTTACTTTAATAATTATCACTATACTTATCAAATAAATGAATGTTTCTTTATCTTATCATTAGATTAGGATATAATATTAAAGAAAATAAACAATATAATTATTATTATCTTCCAACAGTTGAAATCATTCTAGTGTTGTGTGTGTTTGTAATCAAAAATTTGGTTGAATATTGCACAAAAAACTTATGCAAAATTAAAAATATGTTACTTGAAAGAATAATACATACCTTGATTTTAACTTTTGTTTTAGAATCTATGGCAAAAACATTTTCATTTCTTTTACAGTACTATTAAATATTAAATTTATTAAATATAATAGATTATATTTAATAAATTTAATATTTAGATAATAGATTTTTTTTCTTTCTTTCTAATGTAAGCCATATATACTTTCTTACTGCTCACAATTTACAATGCTTTATACAACATATTGCTCATATAAGAGATTAAAGAGACATATGGATTCAATATATGTTGTATGTCTATACGTACGGAAATGATCTAATTCAGATAAAATTCAAGAAATACGTGATTATATAGATTTGAAGAATGTCAGACATCATCAATGATGGTTCAAGATGCCTACTATCAAGTCTGATGAGACAAAAGCATACTACAAATAAGAGTTTAATTTTGTAACGACTTATGTAAAAGATTTTTTATAAACTAATTCCCATAACATTGTATGCATAATCATTATGAAATAAGCTTATATCTATCAAAAACACGAAAACAAGAGCAGGTAGATTGCAAATATGGCGGCCATAAAGTGATCTTACAATCACAACGGCGTCACACTTATTCGTGAATATCTAGTATTTTAAAACTAGACTAACCTTGTAAAGTTCAATAAAATATAATTTGCCTCTTGGGCCACTTGACTGTTTACAATTCACGTCTTTTCCATCATTTGTCGAAGTCATTTCTCAAGAAAATATCGCGGAGAGACATTTATGCGCTTGTGTTTTCGTAATGGTGCTGTCAAACTAAGTGTTGCAATATGTCTTTTTAGAATATGACATAATTTACAGATTCAAAGATTCAAATGTGAATGATGAATGCTACATTTTGTATTACTACTTGTTGTTTTCTTCATAATTACATTACTTGTCTCAAGATGTAATTGTTTTAAATTTATTGCTGCCTTTTTATTGCTGTTGTGATACATTAAAACGTAGGTACTATAAAAACAAGATCACAATCAAGCCTGCCAAATTTTCTTTCGGCAATTTTAGCTCATTCACGTTACATAAACTCAAGTTAACATAATCATTCATCTGTTCAACAAGTTTGATCTATCGAAACATGTTTCGACATGATGTCACGACATCCACTTTTAAGTCGTAGGCCATACTTTTCCCTTATAAAACTCTCAATAATCCCTTTTTTATAGTTACGTCTATTCTCGTCTATTAAAATGACGACAAAGTTACCAAGTATGAAGCAGGCACAATTTTCTGACGTCCAAAAGGCACCAAGTCTACTCTTAATCAATCTGGAAAGAGGCTTTAATTTAAACAGTATCAACCTTTCTGAGCACTCAGTGTCGGTTTATAGGTAGATTTTGGTAGATCGGTAGAGTTATAGACTTTCGGTAGAAACCTAAAAATATTTTTTCTCTACGTTCAATTTTATCAATATGTTGGTAGTTCTGTTTCAAAGAGTATATAAAATAAGAGACGTGTCTCTTGACTAATTAGATACACAAACGGAGAATAAAAATTGTGATTTTTAATGCTAGCAATATTATGAACAAGTCTACGTTGCTACCAACCTAAAAAAATCTATCTGTCAGTTTCCTTTTTGACGTTTGAAAGTATTATTCGAGGGAAAACAATTTAGGAAAAATAACACCATTTCGTTAATTGCAACTTTAATTTAATCTTCTGACTAAAGCGAACATATTTTAAGAACGCAACATAATGCTCACTGCTTTCGTAATAATACCATTATTGTTTAGTTCACCAACAAAATACCCCAACTTTGATAAATGCTTATTTGTTCCAGTTTATTTGATAGGTCATATTTTCTGACAGAACTGGAGTAGTAGTGCCACTCTCGTCGGGAGAAATACAATAACACTGGAAAGAGATTAGCTCCGATCTGTTGGTAAAATATTTAGAAAATTGCTAACAAGACAATATGCATTGAAGCAAAACAAATCGTCATCATCAAGCTCACTATACGGACACACTATACTCCACTGAGGAGCTCGGAGCCTACCCTCAGGAAAGCGACTAGGTCTTATTCAACAATGCAGAGCCAGTGAGGGTTGGTTGACTTCACACATATCTTTGAATATCTATGCAGTTATATGCAATTTGTAATTACAGTAAAAATGTCGGATGGATGTTATCAAGAAATTCGAAGAACGCATTACTATATAGCGGAGATCGTACCTGGATATGTAAAATATGATCCGGTCAAGCACCAACTGCACTGCCGACGCTCCAAATAGTCCCCTAATCCAAACTTTTCCTATCAAAACATTGCAAATGTACAGTCAGCGTCATATAGATCGTCACAGACAAGATATGCAAATATATAGGTACACCAAAAGTAATCAATTATATCGGTACAACAAAAGTCCTCAAAATAATAGATACATTCACCCTGGTCAAATACATCGGTACATACACAGCGTCAAATATATGAGTACATGCAAGATGCTCATAAATATCGTAGCAGCCACAGCGTCATAAATAACGAAGCAGTCAAGGTGCGCAAAAATATCGGTACATTTGACAATACATCGGTACATACACACATATAAATTTTTGGAAATGTTTTTAAATTATATTGGTACGACTCTATACCTAAAACGTCTTTTATTTTTGGCTAAAATTTTAAAAATTAGTTTTTATCTCAACCAATGAAATGAAATTATTTACAATATAGAAATTTTTGTGACGTTTGATAATGGTGGAAATCCGAAAATGAATCCACTTCAGCTACAGTCTATTGTAAGCTTTATATCGAAAATCAGAACGAACTTTCCGGACAACCTATAATGTTAATACAAAGTGTCAAATGAATGTAACAGAAGTAGTTTATTCCAAATTGTATCACAAGTATATAGAGATAGAGTTCAATTTTGTCAAATGTACCGATATTTTGGTATTTGAGCAGGGTGAATGTATCTATTATTTTGAGGACTTTTGTTGTACCGATATAATTGATTACTTTTGGTGTACCTATATATTTGCACATCTTGTCTGTGACGATCTATATGACGCTGACTGTACAAGTCATGTTAAATATTATGTAATGTAAAAATAGAATACAATATTTAAGTTTTACTTCTCAAATAAATTTATAAAATTATCATGAACCTAAAGATTCCGCATTTTAACTCTTTTGTTATTACTATTCTCCATAGATGTTTAACCTATAGATTCCTTAACGAGAAAAATAATGAGCTTAGGAGGCATCATTTTGGGGTTAAGTACCTGTGTTGAAATTTAAATTACGTATAAGAAAATTGTATACAATCTCTGTTTATTTTTTATTACTTAGTTCAAAAAAAGTTTAAGATATATTATAAGTTGTGATATTTGTAAAATCCAAATTTAATAAATTAATTTTGTTTCATATTTTTCACTAAATGGTATTTTTTTTTATCTTTTGCACTTGATACTTAATTTCTTGTATTTTAGTATATTTTTATTTTCTATACACTGCATTTCCCAATTTCGAGAAAATCTTATTATGTTAGTGTATATTTCATATTAAAGTCTAATACATATTTCTAAAAATTGTCATAATATTAACATCAAACTAATATAAAACACTAAATTATAATATAAATAATGTATCGGTTACACATCTATTTATCAATATTTGACATTAATATAGTTACTAGCATGTCCTGCAACATGGCGACTCTTTTTTAGATTTGCGGTTAAACTACTCCATATAAAAACGTAATTTTTCAAAATTTAGTTTAGAATTACAATATTTCAAACAATCAAACTTTGTAGCACAGATGTTGCAGCGACATGCAGTCAGTAATTCTGAAGCAGATTACTTCATTTAATAATTCTGTAGACCTTGAAGAGGTGCATTTATTCATCTGCAACAGAATGAAATTGTAATTAATTGATTCAAGTGTACAACATAATCAATAAAATAAAATAAAGTTTTAAAGTTTCGTTAATGTTAAATATGCAATCTTCGTAAGTATTGCCAATACATAAGATATCGTCTAAATAGATTACCGAATTAAAGCCTGCATTTCTCAAATGAGTTATAACTTCTCTCATAATCTTAGTAAACACCCTAGGAGCCACGGAAAGTCCGTAAGGCATCGAAGTGAACTCGTAAGTTGTATTATGATTGTTTATCTTAAACTGAAATCTTAAATATTTTCTATGATTAGCATGAATAGGAACTAGTCGGTAAGCTTCCTTTAGATCAATTGTGGCTATGTAACTTTTTTGAGGTATTAACTTCGCCGCCGTTCGGTAATCTTCCATCTTGTAGTGACACTTTAAAACATATTTATTTAATGGTTTTAAATTTAATATAAATCGTTTGCCGCCGCTTGTCTTATTTGCAAGGAATATTTTGAAAACAAATTGGTCTCTACTCGGAAGACATTCCGTTTTTCTTTGATTTACTTTCTTGCAAAAAGGTATGGACAGGCCGTTTTGTATCCAATCTAAAATGACTGTATTGGAGGTTATTTTAGACCAGCAAATAAAAAAGTATTTAATTCTGCCTACATGTACCTGAGTTACTGCAGTGCCGGGGCACGAGGCCTGATCGCTGCTGCAGGTTTCTACGCTGACTGCTGTTGCGTCGAGCTCGGGTATACGCGGCGGTTCTGTGATAGTGCTTTCTTCCCGCCTCGGTTGCCGCGAATCGGCGAATACCGGGGCGGGCCGGACCAGTTTCCCGAGTTTGAAGAGCGGTTGCTTGTGGTTTGAGGTCCGGAAGATCTCGAAATAGATTTTTTAATTTGCAGACCCTGACGTTCTATTATATAATATTATATAACAAGGCTCACGGCCTTTTCTGTTGAAAGTCGATAGTGTGTTCGATAATCGACAAGTGGTATTAGAACACAAGTATTATGTTCATCCACATGTTGTTAACAAATAATGTAAACAATGTCTAAAGAAGAAATTTCTTCTTCTTCTTCTTCTTCTTCTTCTTCTTCTTCTTCTTCTTCTTCTTCTTCTTCTTCTTCTTCTTCTTCTTCTTCTTCTTCTTCTTCTTCTTCTTCTTCTTCTTCTTCTTCTTCTTCTTCT